GTTGTGGTTGTGGTTGTTGTGGTTGTGGTTGTTGTGGTTGTGGTTGTGGTTGTGGTTGTGGTTGTTGTTGTTGTTGTTGTTGTTGTTGTTGTTGTTGTTGTTGTTGTTGTTGTTTTGTTGTTTAAGTTTGTTTTGAACAAAAGGGTCTCAAGCACATTTACTAAACAAGCCAAGCCTTTGTGGCTTAAGAGGTGTGCAACAAGGTTTTGACCCGCAAGTTGGTGCATTTCTTCGAGAGCGGAATATACGCTTTAGTTGTTCGATTTGAAGGCTAGAGAGCGCGAGAGAGAGAGAGAGAGAGTGTGTGTGTTTGTTTATATGCATACCAACTGCATGCAGGGGACTTATCAGGACAGACAATGATAGATCGGACCGTCGGGTCGCTTGTGGTCAGCGGTCATGGACAGCTGGTAACACTTGCGTCCCGATCCGATCGGAAGGCGAAAGCTTTTCTGGGCGCTGAGAGGTTCTTTCTCGGTGTGCATGGGAAATCAGGTGTTGGCGACATGCGTAAGCCATACAAACTGAATTGGTGCTGGGGAACAAAGCAGCTCTCAGGCACGAGAACCCGGAGACCCATGAACACACCGCTGAAAGGATGGTAGATATGTGAACCGATTGGATCATATGTTTGTATCTTCAGCATGATCGCAGTTGATGTTTTGCGACACTTTCCAGGACCCACCAATGGATCATTCCTGAGCTGACACGTATTTTACCGAGAAGATGCGGACTTCGGGAACCTTTTCCAACATCTTCCAACTATGGCCGAATTGGGCTGGCTTTAGAGATGAACAGGCAGTAACATGTTGCACAGTTGGGAGAAATCTGCTGTAGCTATACACCCAGTGCTTTCGAGCCTTCTCAAGGTTCCAAGGAATGCAGACACCAAAAGATATACCTGGACCTAGCCCTTCCAATGGGCCTCCAAATGGAGAACTCTATAAGTACTGCAGGCTTCTCCAGCTAGGTGACCACTTGGAAGCAGCTGGTCCGGAAATCATATCCATGAATGTCCGACGCTTTTGATGAATCCACTGCTCCCTGCACAGCCGTGGGGCCTTGATGGGGATGGTCGGGCCTTGGGGGTGTCACCGACTCGAGCGCTCGCGATTCTCCAGGTGAGCGCCGACCTCGAAGTCTGGACGGAAAAAAAGGGGGGCGAGTCGCGCGTCGCGGGCGTTTGGTGGACAGGGATCCTCCATGGTGACTTGGCCTTCGTGTGTTCAGGCCGTCGGAGGCAGTGGATCCTGAAGGTCGAGCCGTGGAGCGCGCGCCATTGGACGTGTTTTGAGGGGTGACTTCATCGATTTTTGGGGGGAAGAAAAGAGCACACACCGAAGTCACAGGTTTGTTTTGTGTTTTTCGTGTGCACAATCCCGGTTTTGTCATGCATGGCATAGCATTCATGTTTGCTCGATGTTTTTGTGAACTGCAGCTTTCCCAGAATTGATTGCTTTGAAGGGAACATCTGCGAACTGACGTGTTGGTGTATGTTCAACCATGGTTTCCTGTCGATCTTCCTGTAGATCTTCCCGCAATCCCTTCAAGATCCTTGCGTGGCGAGCCGTGCGAGCCTTCCCACCGGGACGCCGGACGGGACAGCATGGTTTCCTTGAGCATTCGTTCAATATTGAGGTATATACCTCTAGCATCCTTTAGCTGCTAGAGCTCAAATTAACATTGCTATACATTGCTAAGTTCAGTTTTTCCTCATTCTTTCACCTCACCTTTCGCACTGAATCAGCAAATTGTTGCTCTCACGGTCCGCCGCCGGGGATCTTCACCCCAGCGAATTCGTCCCCGGGGCGGCGAAGCGGTCGCTTCGTCTGGTCGGTGAGGCTCCTCTGGCGAAGTCACCAAGGTCCGTTACAAAAAGACCAATGAGCACCTCGAAGCACCCAGCGGGACCGAAGTGACGGACGAAGCGCATGCTCCCAGCGGAGCAGAGCGTCACTCGATGTGTGAGGTGGTATTGCGCAAAAATTGGTTTCTGCCGAGTGGAGTAGTTCCACTCTATTTGGCTTCCTTGATCAGGTGAAACATGCTACCCCAAAAATCAGGCACTATGTAGTTAAAGAGGATGTAAGTGGGTACTTGGTACGCCGATAAGAGTGTGGGCGCCAGCTTTTGGTAGCCTTGGATTGCTCTACCATCTTTCTATGGCTTATTTGGGTTGGCGCCTTCGCCGGTGGGAGAAACGGTGTTGGTGGAAAGGAGCGAGTTCGTGAGCACTCAGCTGGAAGGACAGCTTCTTGAAAGACTTTAAATTTATCATTTGGTACGCACCTCCCATGTTGAGTAGCACTCACTATAGTCACTCAGTACGGTCTGTAGCGCTTTCCCTGGACTCCCTTGGACTCCAGCGGCGCGGCCGTCGAAGACGCACCGATCTTAAGGATCTTCGCGATGAAGTCAGTGCCTAAGCAGAAGGTTCAGGAGCAGGGCATGCAGGCGAGGCGCGGGCACCTGCGAAGGGCACGGAGTTTTTTCGACACCGAGAAGTGACGTGGAAATGGTCTCGACATCTGCGAGCCCAGGTGTCATCTGTAGGGTGGGGGGCAAGGATTTGGAGGATGGTGGGGTTTAGCAGGATCATGTTATGAGTTATGGGGTATTGAATAGTAGTTTATATATGTTTGTTCACGTTGCTGCCCCTGGCTGTTTGATTCTTCGAGTGATCAGGAACCCAGAAAGTAGCCACAGCCGCCAGCGTTTGGGTTTGATTTTTGGCGTGCTTATGTGTGCTTTCACAGTGGATTGGGCTTCTTCCCACCAGATGGAGTGATATAAGGCCCCTCCGGTGGATTCCTTCTTCTGATTCGAGCAGACTTGGCAGTCTTGGCCTGCAAGACTCATTGGCAAACTTCCCTGGCACTCGAGGCTCCTTCTCCTCTTTGACCGTTTGGGCAGTCTTGGCACTTCCATTTGCTTGGTGCACTAGTTTCGCAAGATCCCACACCGATTGCCAGGTCATCTTGCATGCCCCTGGACCGTCTTGCATTCTCATTGGATCATTGGAACTCCGGTGATCAATTCTGGCTTCAGCCTTCGAGTCGCAGTCTGCACGAGCGAACCGAGCATGCTCTCCGCCCATGGTGACGCCGGGGTCCACCCCTGTGGTGGCACCTTGCATCGCTCCGATGCGGATTGGCCATTTGAAGTTGCTCCAGGAATTGCGTCTTTCCAACTGAGTGGCGTACACCATTTTTCTACACAATATATAGTAATGAATTTTCTTCACAGTCTTCAACTCTGGTCGCAATTTCGATTCTCCGACTCCTTGGACTCTGCATTTTCCTTTGCCGAATCGGTCGACACACCAAGAGTCTTTCTCCTTTTCCAGGCGTTTCATTCAGTTCCTGAAGCTCTGCAATGACACCTGTGTGCCGCTTCTGTTGCACACCTCCAGTCAACGCTTCCAAGCATGAATGTGTGTTTCCTTCTTGTGGATTTGCTCCTTGACACTGCAAAGCTTGATACGCTCCGCATTGAGCTCTTTTGGGTGCTGTGGGGCCTCCTTTACCATGACGGCAACAGCCGTGGGCACCTCTTCTGGGGCGGCTATCTTGCCTATATATCACAAAACACATATAGCCTCTTTCAGGTGCTCGTTCTCCGCTTTTTAGCTGCGATTCTCTTGTGAAAGAACTGCGATGCTTGCCAACATGAACCAGCATATCCTTCCAGCTCGACCTTGCGGCCGTCGTACCCCATCATGTAAGTTCCCTTCTCTAAGTGCTGTCTTTGGCTTCCTTCTTCCGACTTGGCCGATGGCTCTTCCATTGGGCTTGATCCCAATAACATGTTCCTGCCTTCCATGGCATGTTCACCCCAAAAGCCCAGAGTCACTTGTAAAGCGGCCGGGAGTGATGGGCCTGACCCAAGGGAGTGAGGACACAAGGTGTTCTAGTTCAAACCTATCCTTCTTTTCGCCCCAAGGCAAGATAAAGGACATTAAAGGACATATGACGTGGGGAAGTCCAAGTTCCACAAATCACGGTCCAATTGGTCCCAGTCTCGTTGATTCGTATGGAAATCTGTGGTGAAGCGGTGAAAGAAGCTTCATGCGAGGCCTACCTGATGAGGGAGGTGCAGATTCAGATGCAGCTGGCACACCCCTGCAACTCGCACTGCAGTTTCAGTGCTATACCCTTCAGGTTCACCCAGTGTTGGCCTTCAGAAACTGTGGGTGCTCAACTTTACTGTGGTTACTTTAGCATAAACGGGATAAACACCTGGCCTTGTGGCCAGGTGTTTTGCTGGTGTGACAGGGTCACTTGATGAGTTGGATCTGGCAAGTGTAACTTATACAAATTGCCCCAGTGTTTGACCAAGGTTTGAGTGTAATTATGTTGTCCATTCATTGCCAGTTGACTTGTTGTGTGTTCTCAATCTTGCAGAAGGCTGCAATGCATGAGAGGCATAACGCGGTTTGATGCAGGAAATCGACGCAACATGACGCGACCCTTGGTTGCTCCAAATTTCTACTGCAAAGAACTGCTACCATTCCATTCCTTCTATCATTGCTTCATGCCTTTGGAAGGTCAATGCTTTTCAGAGATAGTATTGAAGTACATCCGTTGTAGTTATTCTATAAAAAAAATACCGCTCTGCAAAGAACATGTTTTTGTTTTTAGATGTTTTTTATTGTATATGAATGTGTTGTCTATTCTAAAATAGGGGGACCCCAACCAAGGGTCGTTGCCAGATCTCCCTATTTCAACACACCCATCGTCCACAGATGGTGACCTTGGGCTGATCATGTGGCCGTGGTTCCTACTTTGAGGTGTGGCAAGTTCCTGGAGCATCATCTTCAGCATTTTGGGAGGGAGAATGTAGCACCCGTATAATTACTGTATCTCTCTCTCTCTCTATATATGTATCTATATGTGTAGATATATAGTTAGGGCTCAAAGGATCGCCTAGCTTAGCTAGGAATACTTTTGACCCCAGAGGTTACTACACCTCGACGGGTTTTTTCCTGCGCCATTCCGTGCTCTCCTGCGTGGCACCGCCGTGAGCGTACACGTAGGTCTAAGGCCAGGAAACTCATCCATCGTCTTCGAGTTCGTTCCTCCTGGACACTTTCGTTGGTGCTGCGTGATCGCCTGAACAAGGCCCTGCGGCTTTTGGCTACTCACCACTCTGTGCCTAGGTATCGTGAGCTGGAGGATATGTCATGGAACCAACAAGGACGATGGTCTCAGAAGACACAGAATTCGTGGAAAGGGAATTGGCAGAATGCCAAGTCGAAGCCGGTGGAAAAGCCGACAAACAAGTCAGAAGGTTTTCCAACCTACGATGGAGCAAAGGTCGACTTGGATGCCTTCCCTACTTTTACGCCTGTCTCATTGTCACAGCCAGCATTGGCCAGCTCAGCTTCGGATGGAGATCTCAAAGCCATCTTGAAGACCTACATGCAGCAGAATCCGGGCAAACTACCCAAGGAGCTTACAGAATTGGTCAAGCCGAAGGTGGTGACTGGATCGAGGCAAGCGATGCAGAAGCAGTTGAATTTGGTGAAGAAGCTCGATACCAAACTGCAAAAGAAAACAGATCATCTCGAGAACAAGAAGGCGTCGTGGATTACATGGAAGCAGACACTCAAGGCCTTCTATGCAGCCGAGTTCGAGCGCTACGAGAAGGATGTCAAGGGCCTCCAGGAAGAGATCGACAAGCTGCAGCTGGAAAGAAATGCCGAACAGAAGAAGTTGGACGAAGGGACTTTTCAAGATGTTGCCGATGCCGGCATGAAGGATCAGCTGTCAGACATGGAGGACGATCTCTTTGGCCCGGAAGAGCCTACACAAGTCCCTCCCAAGGTGATGGATGGCATGGCACATATCCTCAATGGAGCGCTTATGGAGCATTTGTCTGCGGAGATCCAAAATGGGATTGCCAAGCACTTCCAGACTATGGCGATGTCACCTCAAATGCCTCATCGCACCAGTGGATTGAGCGAGAGGTTCTCCGAAGAGGTGAAAGAGTCGGAGCCAGGGCAGCCAGCAGCCGGCAATGGCGAGACAATGATCTTGGAGTTGGACAAAGTCCTTCACTTCGAGCAAGACCTCAAGCAACAGCTGCAGTCGGCTTCACAGAGTGTGCTGGAGATGTTCAAGGAGGCGATTGTGGAGGACATGAAGCGATACCAAGGGCATCAAGATCGTATGAAGGAGCTTTTGGAAGATTTGAAGAGTCAAGAAGAGCATCAGAAGTCAAAGAATTTGCCCCGCAGATCAGCCCTACAGCCATTTGGGGCGATGCCAATGCGGCAGAGATCACGCTCCAGGACTTCTCCCTATGGAGACCGGGGCGGGAAGTCGGCAGCGACAGCGATGGGCGGACAGCCTGCCAATATGAATGCCCATTTGAAGAATGGCATCGATCAGATCGACTAGGATCTGTGCTGTCGCTTGATGCTTGGCTTGGGATTATGAGATACCCCTGTTTAAAGTGGGGGGGATCAGTGTTTAAATCGTTGGACTTTGGTCTGTGGCCAGTGCTTTCGGGACTGCATTGGTATGGAGCAAAAGCCATCTATGAGTACTTTGGCTACGACATGGCAGAATGCTGGAGTGATCTTCTTCAATGTGCTGGCATTCTTGTGTCTTGGGCCCTTTTTGCGACTGGACATGCCTTATTGGTTTGCCTTGAAGCAGTTTTGCTTTTCATGATGATCGCGTGTTTCAAAGGAAGATCATCATTTTGGTGTGAGCGGCGAATTTGTGGACGTGTGCACAGAGTTCATAGATATTGCCAAGATCCACCGCGAATCCGTGTGACGCTTTTCTTTTTCTGCATTATGGGACAACATGTCACGGCTGTCGCCCAACATCCTCCACATGCCTCCCATAAAGCAAACTCTTTTGCGGCTGACTTCCCTAAATATGATTCCAGACGGTCTGATGATTTGCATAGGAGTGTATCCTGGTATTTCGAACAGGCTGTCCTTTTCGCTTGGGAATCAATGCAGATGGGAGGTGTGCCTGACACTGCCCAATGTGAAATGGAAGAGTTAGATGATGGGTCCTTGATGCAAACGTCAGGGACAACCCCTTCTTTCCTTCACCACCACGCCCGACTTTGGGACGATCTAGTGTATGCCTCAATTGCTAGAAGCAATTCAGCTGCACAAATCTCTGGACAAATTCCAAATCTAGCAGGCAGATCCACCTTTTGGCTCCTTCCTGGCGTTGCGGCAGGGACCTCTCCGATGCAAGTGGACGTTGACCTTCGGATGGAAGAGCCTAATTGGCAGCACAAGATTCTTGCAATTTGGAATGATCAACCTGATTCGGTGTGTTACCATGTTATACGGAGACCACTGATTTTGCCAGGGGAATTCCCGAGTCGACACAATCTGATTGGAACTAATGCGGAAGATCGCCAACATGGTTATCAAGCTGCTTTGGTCGACTTTACATATCGCAATGTGATGAGAAGAACGGCCTTGCGATATCCTATACTAGCGACTGTTGCTGAATGGGTGTACTTGCTGATTGGCCCACCTTTGCAGCCGCACCATCAAGTCCTGTCTGATTTCATGATCATCTGGAACGATGGGGTGCATGTGTACACCTTCTCCGCATTCGAGACACCTGAACTTCCTGATGGGGCCTATGTTCAACTTGTGGCGCGGCATAGAGGTCGACAGATCATCCCATCAGATCTGCCATTCGAAGCTTGTGAACTGGATCAACTTTTCAGGAGTCTGGATGAACAGGTTGCAGAGGTTTCTTTGATGCAGCAGAGCTTGTATCTGACACATCGCGAATCTCTGATGACCAGAATGGCGGAAGACTCAGTATATAGATTGCTGACTGGAGCAGAAGTGCTTCTCCAGATTCGCTTCACCCAAGGAGCAAAAGTCTCCTTCTGGATGCTGCAGGTTGATCGAGCTATGGTACAGTGGTATGAGACAAGGCTCTGGATCAGCTCCTTTACGGAGGATTGGACTGGTTTGGTCAAGCGCTCTTGTGGCTTTCCTCAAAACGCTGAGCCGGCCTTTTTGTTGGTGCTGCCCCGACCTCCAAGGCTGCGAGATGCACACACTCATGTGCATGTTTTGGCTCTCATTGCCTCGCCGGAGTCTGACATGATGACGATTTTGGTGGATATATATGAGCCTAACTCTTTTGCTCGATGTGCAGTCACTGTCCCAACAGGAGCCACAGTCTCTGATATTGTCGCCATTATCTCCAAGAGCAGAGCACTCCGCTTCTTTGATGCATCTCAGAAATTGAGGCTACATTGGAAAGCAGAGGAGCGTACGGTCTCTTTTGAAGGTGATGATGCTGTCTTTGTTCCGAATGGGGCTTTCGTGGAGATTCGAGCACAACCAAAACAGCAAGTCTGCCAGTCTTCATCTCACCTGTGGCACTCGAGTGATGTCAGCTCTTTCATGCAGACTTCCCAGCAGCAGCACCCTGAGAAGTCCGGAGTGTGTCGATTGGAAGAGTACTCACTGACAAGAGGCATTTGTGTCGGAGAAAGCGAAGATGATGTGTTGAAAAAATACATTACAGAATATTACCAGATCGTCTACCACATGATTGCTGCACACACCTGGTATGCGGGTCCAACTGCATCTGGAATCAGTTCCCAATATCGCATTTGTGTTTGTCAACTGACGCGCTCCTTTTCAAAGGATTTCCTTCGTTTGTGGGCTGACAAGGTTGATAGGGAAGCATTGATGGTTGCAACTGTCTTTCCGGCACTTCCACCGATGGTTTTGCGACGGGAACCTCATGTGGACCTTGTGGCTGTCACCCTGTCGGCTGTACGCCTGGGTGTTAGAACATACTTGGTCGATGTGATTGGGGCCAGATTTCAGAAACGATATGCTGTCAGTGTTACTGCTATCACTTTAGCGGTTCTGGCAACAACTCTGCACGTTCGTGATCTGTGTGGTGAGGACGGCAGTCTTTGCCGACTCTACAAATATGCGCCTGCCACTACAATGGAATGGACATGGCGTGACATGATTGACGAGCCGCATGGCACGGGTCTCACCTTGGGAATTGCACAACATGATCATTGCCTGTCTGAAGACATTGGAAGCCTTTTTCAGATGAGAACTGCCATGACTGTGAGGTCGCAAAGTGGCTTTGTGGACCGTGCAGAGGAGGATATTGCTGATCATTGGGACCTTCTGATCTGGAATGTCTTTGCACAACGCGCATATGATCGAACTCACATAGTGAACATTGCCCTCCTGCTAGCTGAAGCAACTGCTTTCCGACATGGACATCTATTTTGGCCAGTCTTTACGATCTTGGGTTTGGAAGCGGTTTGTTTGGAGGCAGGTAACACATGCTTGGCTCGTTCTGGCATTCATGAACTCCCACGATTGGTCAACTGGAGAACATTTCCAGGTATTAAACTGAATGTGGATGTGAGCTTGGACGCCAGCTGTATGGGATCAGAGATCCTGCACATGGAAAGCATTGAGGAAGCTGACCATGTGGCAAATCTGTCATTGATGCAGGCGGCCGCTTCTTTGAGCAGGCACACTGTCTTGCAAATGAACCCACCTGAGGTCCCGCATTTGGGCTGGATGCAAACCATGACACATGATCAAGGTTTTGATGTCGTGAAAGCAGCCTTGACTGGTCACATTGTGAAAGGGCCAGAACGTTTGGTCCAGATTCGTTCGTACTTTCACAAACATACTGGTGTGCCTGTCCGAAATGCCAATACTATTAGGATTCGTCTTGATCAACATTTCACACAAAAGGTGCTGGAAGCATGGAATGTGGCACATCATTCCGAATTTCAAGCTGTCTGGGTGTACCCTACTCCGCATGTGGGTATCCAAGGACAAGTGGTGCCTCTTCTCCTCCTTCAATGGCTGGTGCAGCCAGAGTGGCTACCAATTTATGTGGAATGTTTGACCATGCCATTTGTGCGGGGTAGTGTTCAGATTCACCTCCATGACACAGTTGGCAGGATTTTTCATCGTCTGACAGGCCAGTTTTTGGATGAGCCATCCGTTTGGTATGCCAGAGACATGGAACGACCGCATCTCCTTTTTTGGGCAGGCGATATTTTGGGTGCAAGGGCTGGCGCTTATATTGTCTTCTTCCAAAAGAATGGACCACAGGATTGCACCCCTTCAACAATGTGCCGTCCTTTGGGAGACAACACTGCAACTCCCTCGGGATATGAAGAATATGATAGTTCATCATTCATGCAGCGATTTCCATGGCCGACTCCTGATGATGCAACAACGGGAGATTCAGGACACACTACTCTGGAGCATCCCAACATGGGCCGAAGTGTGGGACACGCCCAGGCGGGCTCTTCGTCATCAGACAGATATACACGATCTATCCAGATCAGTTCCAGTGGGCCGAGCAGTGGACCCCCACCAGTCGACTACCCGCAATACTCACTTTCTCGGGATCAGTCAATGGAGGCTGCGCGGCAACACTTGTCGGAGTACTGGAATGGTTGTCCATGGTACTCTGGGGATGACTATTTGCTGGTTCAATGTGTGATCCTTGAACAGGAAATGTGTATTGCAAATGAGGAGAGATGCCCTTCGCGATTCCTACAAGTGGATGGGCCCATTTGGGACTTCACGAACTGGTGTATGGGCCTATGCAGGTCGATGACTCCGTACCAACTCCGAGCTTTTCCTGTTTGTGAGGTGGAGCAAAACTTGCCTACGCTATTGTTGGTTGATGAATGTCGGGGAATGGACATCCCTGTGCTCATCCAACTATTGGTTGGAGGTGAAGTCAGATTCTTGGTGTACTTTGCCACACAAACGGTTTCGACTCTGCAAGTCTTGGCTTGGGTAGAGGACAATGTGCCTTTACCGGATGAGTTCTGCCTGGAGCTCAATGACCAGCCCATTGATATTCAGCAATTTGTCTCTTTTCGGCCAGGTGACCTCCTGACCATTCGTACTCGTCCAGCTGCAATGAGAGCTCCTAATACGTCCTATGAGACTGCTGGAGACAGTTGTCCTGGAAGTTCGCAAATCACATGGACCTCGATGCCACCTGAAGTGTCTACCGGGCTGCTTGGATCTTTGGGACACGCAATGACCAGGGATAACACTGCAACCCTGACGGTACCGAATGATTACATACAGAACTCCGATGGAATGGACGATGATGCTTACAGCATGTTGCAAAAGGCTGGGAGCTGGGCTTCAAGGAGGGCCGCATCCTCCAACCCGCAGCTACACTTGCCTGACTTGGATGAGTGGGATGAGTATGCCTGCATGCAGCGGCATGTTTATACTGGCTATCTCTTTCATTACATCTTTTCTGCCACACGTGACTTCGAGATTGTTGTGGATATGTGGTTCCATCCTTATTCGCAGCAAATGCACCCAGTGCGGAATGTGCGCTCTTGGCCTTTCATTAGATCAGAAAATGTCGATCGCAGACTACAATGGATCTGGCAGGATGTCCTGTATGACAGAGCGCTACATAGGACGTTTGTGCGACCAGTTCCTTTCGTTGAGCAAGTGCCAAGACCAGTCCTCATTGTGACAGACATGGACAGTGAACATCACTTACCGGTCCTTTTGCACTACCATATGCCAATAGGGGGGGTTTGGTCTGCAAGTTTCCTGGCCTTTCGACCAAATGGATTCACTGCGGCTGGACAACTCTTTCATGAGGTGAACCCACTGAACCAGTGTCTGTGGACATATGAGTGCTATGTGCGCATCGAGAATGCGTACTACCGATGGTTTGAGACCATAGCTTTCCATGCGGGAGCCCGCATTTCGATGTATGAGGTTGCACGGGATTTTGAGGTCTCCGACCAATCTACTTGTTCGAGTACCTTGGCATTGGAATCAGAAAGTGGAACATCGTCTGCTGATGACTTCCTTTCATCATGGGAAACGGACTATTCAGACAACAACAATGTTTCCTTCATCCAGCTTGGGGTGTATTTCCATACCGCCAGCAAGCCTGCTCCACAGCCTTTGCTGGCGTCTCAGATGGATCGTGCCTTTTCTCCTTCAAGGCATGCTTTCCCCACAGGTCGACCAGACCATGAAGGATGCGCTCCCAGCATCACTTGTCGCCAGTTTTGTTGGACTCTGAGCATGACATTTGCTTTGGTCCCTTTGACCTACAATAGGTCGTTTTGTGGGCGAATTGATCAGAGGTTGAGTGCTGACTGTTCTTGGAGTGAGTCTTTGTGGTCATCTCAAGACTCTGAGGACATTTCCCAGATTGTCTTTCGTGATCATTTTGTTGGTTTGCCTCCGCCAGGTAACCCACCTTTGTTCAAGGGAGACCTTTACACCCTGGATGACGGATATTATCAGGCAGGCGAGTACATAGTCACAGACTATCAACCGATGACTCCCTGTTCAACGTCTCAATTGATACTGAAGATGCCGTTGCTGAAGACCCTTTTGGGAAGTTTGACTGACACATTTAGCTGTCAATGGCCGGATCTGTCCGCGGTTGCCAATGACTTGCCTCTTAACTTGTTGGTGGAACTCTTGAGTTTGCCACTTGGCCGGATTGAAGAGGCTGTGTCGCTTGACATCTTTACGGATGGCTCCTTCTTTCGAGACGCAGACTTGCCGGCTGGTTGGGCCTTTGTGGTCATTGGTTCTGGCATGACAGGACAAAAATTCCTTCTGCATGCGGCTTGTGGCCAGGTGGTGGCAGAAGTCCTCGAGGATAGCTGGCATGGGGCGGAAGTGCACTAGAGCTCATCAAGAGCGGCTGAGCTTGAAGCACTCTTCCAGGCGGGAGTGTGGAGATTGGCTTCAGCCTTCGAAGGCCATGTATGCTTCCAATTCGATGCCACCTCATGTGGATATCCAGCGGCTGGTATCTGGAATTTTGATATGGTTTCCATTCAAGGGAGAGTGGTGCGAGCAATCTTCCAAACTATGCAGACTATGTTTGCTGGGAAGCAGAGCTTCGTTCATGTCAAAGCTCACTCAGCTATCCTGGGAAATGAACTTGCTGATGTGCTGGCAAAGGCTGGATGTGGTCAAGACCCACCTTTGGGGGTTCCTCAAATTGCCCTACAGGGTGCCTTATTCGGGGATCCTATGCCGATTGAGCTCTTATGGCTCTATGTGCAATCTGCTTTCATGGATGATGCGTATCCTGTCTTGGAGGGTGAAGAACTCCGAAGTGATGCGGTCTTCTCGCCAGTTGACAAAAGTGAAGTCCTCCCGCAGCCAGTTGTGGAAGGATTACATCAGACAGTTGTTGGGGAAGCCAAGATGGACCTGGGGGTCCTCACGTATAATGTGGGCTCTTTCTTTGCGGTGCGGCAGAATGGATCATTTCTTGGAAGATGTGAATACATTCGCCAGCAGCTTGTCTCACATGGTGTGCACATTGCCTGCTTTCAGGAGACGAGATCCAAACAAACAGGGGTTTTCCCATCGGCAACTCATTTTCGCTTTGTGGCTGCTGCCAGAAATGGCCGTGGGGGCTGTGAAATTTGGCTTTTGCGCATGCTTAAAGGCAAGTCGACGCAGTTGCTCAAAAAAGAGGATGTGATAGTGCATTGGGACGCCCCTGAACTATTGATTCTGCAGGCCAAGATTTTGAACAAGCTGTTTCTCATCATTTCTGGACATGCACCGCATGTAAGTCGACCGGAATGTGAGCATGTCTCATGGTGGAATGATTTGATGATCAAAACTCGCGGAGCTTTTCTCCCCGGACAGCATACCCTGGTTTGTGGTCTGGATGCCAATACGCACTTTGCACAGACTATGCCACCGCATGTGGGGGAGTTTGAACTGGAAAGCAAGTCCAGCTACTCCTCGAAGCTCTTCTTGCAGTTTTTACAGGAGTTTTGCCTGTATCTGCCATCCACGTGGCATGATTGTCAGGTGGGATCCTCCATCACCTGGACTAGAGGGGATGGAAAAGTTTCAGCGAGATGTGACTACGTGGCATTCCCCTTGGATTGGAGATCCTCTCGTCAATGGAGCACTTTGCTGCCGAGCTTGGATGCTGGGACTCTTGAGATGGACCATTCACCGCTGGCAGTATGGGTGCATCTGATCTATCCGAAAACAAAAAAAAGACAGTTGCCACAATTTGATCGACAGAAGATCATGCATATGACGCAGGAGGACATTCAAGATTTGCAAGTGCATCTACCAACTATCCCATGGCAGGTCAATGTGCACAACCATGCTATGCGACTGACCAAAGCAGTTTCTGCGTGGTTGGAACGACGTTTTCCTGCAGCCAGACACCCACCTAGGGCAACCTTCATTTCGGCTGCTACTTGGAGCATTCGGGAGGAAAGGCTGGTGTTACAGCGACGTTTGAGAATGTTGCACCGGGCAGAAGCAACCTATGACCTGAGCATTGCCTTTTTGGCCTGGGCAAGAGACATGGTGCTGACCGAAGCACACGATCACCTCTGGCCGCTCAGATGGCACACAGTTATGGGGCTCCGACACACAGCTGAAGCTTTGCGGAGCACACGGAACACTTTGCGACAGGCTTTACGCACTGATCGAACGGCTTATGTCCACGAGGTGGCAAACAAAGCTGTGACTGGCCTCCCAAATGATTTTCATCGAACCCTACAAAAAGTTGTGGTCTGCGGGAGACGCAAACAGAGAGGGACTCTCCCATTACCCAAGCTACAAAATGGAGCTGGTGAACACATCACATCCTACGAAGCTTGGGCTGAACGATGGAGGGAATTCTTCCAAGAACAGGAAGGTGGTGCACCAATTGAATTTGATGAACTGGTTGCCAATTGCAAGGTTGAGGCGGAACCTTGTGTCGTTGACTGGTCGCATCTGCCTACGTTGACACAGTTAGAGGCTGTGCTCAGACGGACGACTCCTGGTAGAGCGTACTTTGATGACCTCATTCCTGGGGAGGTTTTGAGGAAAGCTGCTGGGGCACTTGCAACTGTCTGTTTTCCCCTTCTTCTGAAGCATACCTTGACTGCAACAGAACCCCTATTATACAAAGGCGGCTTGTTGGTGGCGGCCTACAAGGGCAAAGGACCCTCCGATGACTGCGCGTCTTATCGCAGTTTGCTGGTCTCGTCTACTTTGGGCAAGGCACATCACAGGCTTTTTCGGTCTGCGCTCATGGAAAAGTTTGAGCCATATGCCATGCCTCATCAACTTGGAGGTAGACCTAAACAGTCGGTGGGTCTGGCAGCATTGGGGTTGCACCTCTTCTTGGACAATCGTGCGAAAGCAAAAATCTCTACGGGTGTGATTTTTATCGACATCCAAAACGCTTTTTATAGAGTCGTTCGGCAGCACGCTATTCCTGGATTGCAATCACCTGCTGGATTGTGTGCCTTTTTTGACAAGCTGGGAATTGGGCATTCTGCCTATCAGGATTTCCTGGCCTTGATTGAATCTCCTGCTGCCTTTGATGATGCAGATGTTCCAGAACAGTTGAAACGCATCTATCAGGATGCCTTCGATAATACCTGGTACTGTGTACGGGGCACTAAAACACTGACGGCCACCACCCAAGGTACCCGACCAGGGGATTCATATGCTGACCTGGTCTTTGGCTTTGTGCTGACGCGGATCCTTCGTATTGTCCAAGACAAGATGAAGTCGTATGGCCTGTTGGTGCAAATCCCTTGGACTGGCTGCCCTTCACCACAAGCAGGAGAGCAACAGCGACTGCAAGAGTATCTAGGGCCCATTTGGGCAGACGATATTGCAGTTGTGCAACAAGGGGACACACCATTGGACCTCACCCAGCGTATTTCTAAGACTGCGGGCCTCCTGATGGACATGCTTGCTTGTTTTGGGATGTCGCCGAATATGGCGAAGGGAAAGAGTGAGGTGCTGTTGCAACTGCGAGGATGTGGTAGCCAACGACTCAAGAAGGCACTTGTGCAAAACGATCAGAAACTCCAGACCGTAGCGCAAGCTGCTGCAGATGAGATTGCTTTGGTCGGACGATACAAGCACTTGGGTCTGTGGTTGACTGAGAACAACTCACCACTACTGGACTTGAAGTCTCGTTTTGCCATTGCACATGCAAGACTTGGTCAGTTTCGCGTGGCAATTTTCGGGAACAAGGCCTTGCCTCTGAGAAAGAAGGTGCTACTTTTTGACTCACTGATCCTATCAGCTGTTTTCTGTAATGTGGCAGCCTGGGCTCCCTTCACTACGGCAGTCAATGTTGCTTGGGGTCGCAAGTTAGGTGGTTTGTATAGAAGATTTGCGATGATTCACGCAGGTTTGGCTGTCAGAGAATGGACGGATCAGAGGTTGCAGCAAGAAATGGGATTTGTCTCGCCCATGGTTTTGCTGCGTTCCATTCGCCTACGATTTTTGGCACATGTAGTGGGGGCAGCAAATGATGCTACCTGGGCATTGCTACAGCTTGGCAGTTCATGGTGGCACCAAGCACAAGCAGATGTTGATTGGCTCCAATCTCAACGACGTTTTCCGCTGGGAATGTGGAGACTGATTGAGGACTGGCCTTCCTGGTTGCAATATATTGGATCTTCCCCCACTAGGTGGAAAAAGTTGATTTCCCGTGCTGTTCAGCATACAGTGGAACAGGCCTCTTTGGTGCATCGGTGGGATGAATGGCATGATGCAATCGCCACGGACTTTCACCAGATGTGTGAAACCACGGGACCTGAAATCCTTGCCCTGGCCACATCCCAACATGGATGTATTCGTTGCCAGCAGTACTTCCAAACCAAGGCAGGCTGGAGTGTTCATGCGTTTAAAGTCCATGGGAGAACCACTATGGGCCGACGTGTGGCTGTTGGATCTCAATGCCCCAGCTGCCTGAAGCAGTATGCCTCGCATGTGGCGCTTATCCATCACCTCAACTACCAGGCCAGATGTCGTAATTCTGCGCTTTGCCGGGGTTGGACTGCGGATTTGGAGCCGGGCATGAATAGTGTCATTGCGGGACAACAGAGACCTGCTTTTTGGAAGCCCCCAATTCAAGCAGAAGGTCCAGTTTTGCCACCGGGTCTTCCTCATGATGAGCTGCCTATGGTGGAGGCCGAAACTGAACTCTGCACCTCATGGACCTGTGCAATTGCGCAGATCTCCAGCCATTCGAGTGTTGATATCACTGTCTCTGCCCTCAAAGAGGCTACCATGCAGACGGTGTTGCACGTGGATGAGATCAAACAACTTTTCACACAGTGGAGTGCTCGATGTCATGCGAACTGTGCCCCATCCCATTGGGAACAAGTGCATCAGGTATTTTTGACGTCAGCAACCGCTACATGGTTTATTGCCGAGAAGCTGGGAAGTAGGCCCCGCCTGTCCTTTGATGGAGTCTGGGAGAGATGGTGCCAAGACTTGCCAAAGCTACCAGATGTGCCTAGGGTCTTAAAGTACAGGCCAGTGCTCATGGCACATATATTTTCCGGGCATCGGCGTGAAGGTGACTTACAGTCCTTCCTCGAAGATCTTCAAGTTCCAGAGCCACACTGTGTTCGGGTGCTGAGTGTGGACATTGTGTTCTCGGAGTCCTGGGGGAACTTGTTATGTCCAACAACCTTCAATAAGTTCAAAGATGCCATTCGTTGTGGACTACTGCGCATTGTTTGTGCAGGACCTCCATGCGAGACGTGGAGCAGAGCACGCTCCCATGGATGTGAAGATGGAGGCCCACTTCCTGTACGGGATGCCACCCACCTTCGAGGCCTACCAGAGCTTCGCTTGAGGGAGGTCCGACAAGTCTCGACAGGGAATGATTTGCTGGGTGTTGCAATTCGTTTTGCGGCCAATATGCTGATCAGCAACGGTTTCTTCTTGTTGGAACATCCAAAGGATCTGGGAGGTGAACAGCCTTCGATTTGGCGGCTGGCTGTGATCAAGCTGCTCCTTGCTTTTCCGAATGTCCGCCTTTGTCATGTACAGCAGGGCCTGTTCGGTGCACAGTCGGCAAAACCGACCACTTTTCTGATTGTGAACCCACCGCCCAATGCTGATGGCATTTTAGCAAAGTTTCGCACGCGAGATGTGGTGCCCCAGACGGTATCCATTGGTCGTGTGAACGGACAATGGAGAACGGCGGCATTGAAGGCCTACCCGGCTGCACTTTGCAGAGCAATTGCGGCTGTGGTACAGGGCTACCTGGAGGAGATGGAGCCGTCACTTGCTCCCCTCGATGCTCCTGCGGACTTTGAAGAGTTTGCGGAGCTGTGTGTGCCGCCCGTCGGGGCCCAAATGGGCCCCGACTACCACCCGACCAATTTGGTGCATGTACAGGCTCCTGGCTAGACCAAAGGCCGTTGAAGTGTAAAAAAAAGAGATATATAGTTATATATGGTTGTGCTGTGGAACATGGTCCTATAGAAGAAACAAAGGTCAGCTGCACAGATGTGATGCAAACTTTTGACAGTAGGATTCCAACCACCATTGACTTGATAGCCTGAAGCCCGAACCAGGATGGTTGGTATTTGGAAAATGGTCATCCGAAGGGCCATGCCACTTCCATGATTGTTTCAGGGAGTGTAGGTAGGATAGGGTTGTTCAACCAATTGGTCGGAACGCCACGCAACCTTTTGGCCATGTGAGCCAAGTGCCAAGCACCAGGTGCCTCGGTTTCCACCAAACCCAGATACGCGCAGCAAGTGGCTCAGCGGGCAGACAGGCACATACAAGCACATACAAGTGACATAATGAGCCAGGGGGAGCAGTTGAGAAAGCGCGAACTGCCACCTTTATGTGCAGGTACCTCTTTGTTGCGAGAACATGGGCACGACATGGTTGCTCAAATCAAAAAGGCATCCAAATGGATGGCTCGCATGACTCCACCGATCCCGCTACAGCTCAACACGCACAGCTTCCGCTCCACCCCGCCCACTCGCGACGCCGGCGATGCCGGAGCCCAGCGTCATGGTGGACCAAGCGGTTCCCGCGGAGCGTGGAGAAGGTCCCGCAGGTCGTCCGGGGCCGAAGGAGGGGCATGCTGGTACCGCGCCGCGGGTTGCGCGGACGCTGCATGGAGATCCTTGGGGTGTCCCTGTTTGGAGATCCTTCTAGTAGGGTATATAATATTGCATACAATATGGGGTACATAATTCGTTCATCATGTCCATGTCATGTGTGAGTTCCTCAAGTCTTCGACAGGGAAGGACGTGCGCTGCGAGTTGGAATTTAATTTGCAGAACTTTCAGAACTCTTGAAATGGTCAGATGATGTGTTATAGACTCTAGCATATATATATATAGGTATAAAATATAGACAATTGTAGACATAGAGTGCATAGAGGTTCAATGACATTTTGGAGGGGGAGCAGGGCTTGGAAGTACTGAAGCTGCTTGGGATGTGCCCCCCCAACGGGGGTACCCTGTTTGGTGTCTCGGTCCCGCTCGGTGATTCGAGTCAACCCACCGGTCGGGATGTGAACCACTCCTGGTCAGTGGAGAACCTGCAGGTTCCTTGTTTGGGAATGGGGGTTCCCATGGTTGCCCCCACTCAAATCTGACCTGAGGGGACTTGGTCTCCTCTGAACGATGAAATCGCTGAAGTCGAGAGCATAGGATCGGCCCAATCTGTGCTGCGCTGCACAAGTGCTCAGATTATTGTAAACGATGGAGCACCATAGTGCGCATAGTGTGAGGGTTGCAAAATGTTGGATTCAGGCTTTTCTGCTCTGGCAGGCATGTGTATTTTGCAGGTTCCATGTTGTTAGACTTGGTTATCCGGCATTCAGATTATTAAATCAACACGTAGGCTTAGAGTATGGGTGATTTGTGGAATTTTGTGAACTCAAAAGCATCTAAGAGTCTGCTGCTTTTTTGGGCCCTGTGGGGTTGGCCAATCGTCTCGGCACCTGGTGGGAGTGAATCAGCGGCAGGTCAGATGTGCTTGGAGGTCAAAGCACCGGGGAAGGAAGAGCACTGCCCGAATGCAAGCCCGAAGAACCTTGGGTGCAGAGCTTTCTTGGCCTTTGAAGCTCAAGCCGTGGGTAGGTTGCCCACTACCTTGTGGACTTCCAGACCAGACAGGATGGTCTAGCTTTTTCGACCAACCTTTTGGGTAGAGATTGCTTTTAAGGATCAGCCTCTCCCATGGTCGGTGTTCAGTGGACTCCAAACGGGCCATGCCTCTGGGGCGAACTAGAAGCTGTCAGATTCTTCAGCTGTAACACCATGGGTGACCTGGTAGACTAGATCGCTCATATCGGCTGATGGCATCGATCGCAGCTAGCGCTCGAGTTTTCAACTGTTCAGAAGGATCTGAGTGTTCAGACCAGCGCGGAGGTGACTTGTTTTCTTTTGGGGGGGATGGGTGGTCCCAACCACACAACCCCCAGGGGCGTCCTTTGTCGACATTGGAGGGACTGGAGACGTGCCAGAAACAATGTCATGGGTTTTGTGATTCCAAGAAGAGTGGCACATTGAAGTTGTGTTCAAAGACAGCTGGATTTTGAGCAGGGAAAGACATTAGCCTTTGTTGATTTCTGTGGCTCAAAACGCCCAGGACCTGCGGGTTCTATTCATGCCATCTACCAACAGGTTGCGTAGCTTCATGTGCAAGAGCCTTTCTTCCCGTAGAGTGTGTCCATTTCTGTCCAGTTTTGCTACAGTGCCTCCCTTCAACTCTCCCCTGTCCACGAATTGGCTACCCAGACGCTCCTGGACTTTCATATCATATGGAGGGGTCCGGTCTGGGGTCTCAAATTCCTAGATTTTCAGGGACCGGTCGTGCTGTTTGGAGCGTTTGGGTCACACACTTTACATGCAAACACCCTGCTCGATGTGCAAATCAAACTGCCCATTTGCAGGAATTTAAAGATGCAGGACTGCTAGACTGGGACGAACTCAGATTGGATACCATCACAGACGGACAGTCCACCATGTGGTTTGCGCAGGCCTTGGGCTTAACCCTCTTCCGTCCACTGATCACTCTCGACCAAAGCCGACTGCTTCAGGATCATGCAGGCAGCACTCAGAAGCAGTGTTGAACAGCGTGAACGTGAGATCTCCTTGACAGACTCGGGGCCACCAGTGGCCACTTGGGCCGCATGTCCCAGCTGCGTGCTTGGGCAAAGACAGGAAGTCGACACATGGTGGGTGAGACAGGAACACGTGGGGAAGGCTTCGATGTTTTGTGTTGATTCCCTGAAACCGCGGCGTTGGTTGGTCGCTTTCCATCCATTTGGGCTTTCTGTCTTCGCAAAGTCGCTCCACCATCCTCCCCAGCCTGGCCGAACCCCGCGGTCCTGCCGCCAACCGCGCTTGGCGGTTCACCGTCACCACCGCGGCGCGAGGACACGAGCCTCACCTTGTCCAAGTTATCGGACTGCACCGTGGCCGATCTCCACGATTTGGTGGTGGAGTCCATCGGCCAGGACCGACATCGACTGGCGCTGAAAGGCGGTGTGGCGGTGTTTCTTTTGGGGGAAGGAACTCTGACCCGGGATGGTGCAAGGTGAAACCTGTCCCATGGGTGGTTTAGATGATACGTCCTGCTCTATTCGGCCTGTTTGAGGATGAACATTGAACTTTAGTAACTTTATGATCGTATACCAGGATACCAAGCTACCAGCGTCAATTAGGGACTTGCAGGGGTAGTCCAGGCACCACTGTGACTGCTTCAGAGTGGTTTTCATAACTTTCGCAGCTCCAGGACATCGAGCAAGTCACTGGAGAGCCGGGTGATGCCACTCGAGTGCAATGTTTGGTGCGGTCGACACGAATTTCAAGGGATCCCGGGGGGAGAAGCCAAGGTCATGTGAGAAGCTCAATGGGAGAAGCCAAGGTCACACATGCTTGGGGTGTTATTGTTTTCGATTTTTTCCTCAGTGCGACATACGTATCATGATTAATGATTAATGTATATCCGAAGGATGCCAGTGCACTCATGAAGATAGATTGATGCAAGCTGTTTTACCATGGATCATGTGATTTTGGAGTTGAAATGATAGTCTCTCCAAAGCACTGCAGACCCCTTTTCGGTTCAACCGAACCTCGCCGTGCGCCGAGGTTGCCTTAGACGAGCGACTGGCATATGGAAATGCGGCGTTGACCTTCCAGGATGTGAGCTTTCGGATGAAGGACCCACAAAATCAAGACGCTCGGCAAAGGTCGCCCGAGAGAGTTCAAGGGCGGGCGGGTGTTGTTGGCCTTGTTTCTCCCTTTGGTCGACCAACGACGCTCTTTCAATTTGAAGACCAGGCTATGGTGGATGCAGCACTGTTTCATAGGGCCTTCGCGGCCTGCATTTGGTGTAAGTTCCTGTAGAATAGACAAGGCAAAGTGATACCCAAGGAAGTTTTAAAGAGTTTGTAGCTGTCCCAAGAAGATTCCATGAATTTCCGAAGGCTTCGGTGGTCTTTGGACTTGTGGGGTGCGTGAGTTCATGATTGAAGCATAACCGTTGATACTGTACTTGTGGCGAGCAGAACTGGACATGAGGTCGGCAACATGGTCGTTCGTACGGCTTCATGATGTTGGGGTGCATGATTTAAAGATATGCGGGGTCTCCTAGGACGTTGCACTTCAGCCGAGACCCCTCAAGATCGGCTGAAGTGCTGAAACAACCACCAAAGTAGACAGATGTATACAGTGGTTTCAGAGTAGATGGCACAACCCCCAAGATGTTTTCTTTTCTTTTGTGATGGGGTCCCCATAAACCACCCAACTTGGACATTTGTCCAACCAACCCACTTTCTAAATGTGTGTTATTTCTTCAGGGTCTGCTTTGGTGGAAGCCCACGAGAATCCAACGAGTCTGCATGAATCGAGGAGGAGAAGATCATTTTGGTACCTTGTTCTGGACACTTCGAGCCCGGGACTTTGGTCGCTTTAATGGGTCCAAGTGGCAGTGGGACTCCTGGCAGCATTGTTTTTGTCTTTGTTGCAAGGCACTGGTGTCTACCAGCTGGTTCATTTCAGGTTGCTTTTGGCCGGTTTGCCATGCATCTCTGGGGTTTGCCCTATTCTATTACAGTACCTGTAACAGTCAGTAAACAACTATCACTAGTTTTATAGAAACGTCTGCAATGGAATGTGGGATGCTTGGGCGCCATCGCAGCAGAGAGCCTCCCTGGAAGTGCGCGAGTTGACCACCCAGCTGTTTGAACAAGTCGGAACATGGTCTTTCAAAATTGGGGCCATGCCATCCACTTCTATGATAGTTCCAGGATGTTCCAGGGAGTGTATGATTTCATGTGCCATCTTCCTGGAGTTGCACATGGTTGGATCCGCTTGTTGGAACATCCTTGGCAGTTGGTTGTAAAGGGTCCACCGTTAGTTGCCTTTTGCCATGTTTAAGGTCACACTGCATCAAAGCCTTGGGGTGCTGTTGGCTGTTGGATGTGCTGGCGCCCCCCCCAGAAGAACAAAAAGAACTGGAAAGCACCCCCAACTGGCTCCTCCAACTCACGCGACTCGGGCAGAGGTCAATCAGAGCGATGGAGAGAGACGAGAGACCTCGAGACCGTCCGAACCTTTTCATCGAGAGACATCGCGAGCCCAGCCACGAAACGTCTCCCAGCTCGACCAGCTCCGCGCGAGCAGCTCCTACCCGAAGCCGCTAGGAAGACCACCTTGCTGGACATCTTAGCGGACAAGAAGCGCCTTGGCTTCTGAGGCCCGGAGCCGACACGAAGGCGCCACGGCGGCCACGGCTGGTGAGAGTGAGACCGCCACTACTGCAAGAAGGATGGATGTATTTGTGTATAGTAGGCCGTTCTCCACAAGAGGTTGGGCATTCGGCATGCCGGGTTCTCATACCACTTGGAAGCAACCACCACATGTCAAGTGTCAAACAAACAGCACCCTGGTTGTAGCCAGTGGCAGAAACAGATGACAATCGATAAGATCGAAGAGATTGCAATTAATGTTTCTTGTCCTCAGTTTACCCTGGTCACCGGGCTATTCTTGGCTTTGAGTCCCTTTTCCACTGGAGTCACGGGCTTTGGCTAGCACTCCAGTATTTGGGTGGAGGACTCAAGCCTAACCTGTAAAAACTGTTCTTTGACCGGCCTCTCCTTTGGGTTCACCATGTCTAATTCGTTTGTATGTCCGCCGGGAACCTCCAAACTGCAGCACGATCGCCCTGAGGACGTCCCCTTATGAAGGCAAAGTCCATATGAACGGGCGACCGCGGGACTGCCTCTTCCCACGCCTCACGAGCTATGTGCCCCAGGACCCGGTACAGCTTGGGACATAAGAGACATGCTTTGGTCCATTTGTGTCCCACTCACGAATGATTGAAGTCGCAAGTTCAAGAATCTTGGACTTTGCACGGCCGCACGGCCAAGAGGCGCCAAGAGGCCTTGCTTCGCGCAGAAGTGGAATGAGGAATATATAACTTTGTCAACAACCGTTGGGAAGCTATTGGAGGTATCCCAAACACTGGACTAGTTCCAGGACTCCATGACTAGTTCCAGGACTCCATGTATTGCATACTTACATGTATTTACCTACATTTGGGGTGGTTGACCCGGGGTCAATGTTCGGTACGGGTCGACCCCCCCTTCTACCCACTCCAACCTGAGGAGGCCAGGGCGGCCGGCGGGGGTGGAACGACGGCAGGATGACATCATGTTCCCCAACGTGACGGTGAAGGAGCAGGTGATGTTCCACACGGTCTTGAAGACCGAAGTGCCTCTCCGGAGTGGTCCAGTCCGGAGGATTGCATTCTCATTCTTCGAAAAAACAGGACATCAAAGGACATCAAAGGAAATGCAAAGGACTGAAAAGGTGACCACTGCAAATCAATCATTCCTTGACACACCCCCTTGTTATTCAAGCACGATGCGGTGCTTTCGGTCATGGGCGGTCTAGGCATCCGGGTTCGACTGTGGACTACCTAGCGCTTCCTGTCAGGGTGCCCTGGAGTAGGAGATCTGTTTACGTAGTGTGGAGATATCCAGCCAGGTGACCCCTAGCCCGGAAGCAGCTGGTATAGATCCCAACTCCAATACTATATACCAGGGCCTCCTTTCAGGGGTGGTTTTCATGGACGCCCCTTACTGTGACCTTTGAGGTATAATTATATAGACACCCCGAAACAGGGGGCCCCGATAGGCCCTTGATGAAGACTCCGCCTGACATGGATCATTTGGATTGTAAAGCCATGTAGAGCCTTTTCGTATGGGGGTTTGTAAATCAAGAGTTTATATACCCCAAGATACCCCAAGTGTGTGGCAAGAAGAAAAATTGGTCAACACTTTTGAAAAGGGATGCTCGGATTTGTTGAGATGTGTTGAACTTGGACGTTTGGTCGTGACAACATGCAAAATTGTACTGTATACCTTTTGTTGTTTCTGCTGCCTTTGCTGCTGTTGTTGGTGTTGGTGTTGTTGTTGTTCTTCTTATGACTTCCCTCCTTGCAAGGTAAAGTTACATTTTGCCCTGCAAGCGGGTGTGACAGGAAGATCAAGTTTTACGCAACTCATTCCGGTTCCGTTACATGTTTTGTGGTTGCAGCACCATCGGCATTCATTCTCCGTGCTCCTCACCACCTTGAGTGCCACTCGCGGCAAGGAAATGACGCTCCGATTGTTGAGAAGCTTCGATGTTTTGATGGAAGTTGGAAAGGGGTATAACAATCATGCATATAACAACTCACCAGCCGAGAACTTCCAATGACTTATTTTACCCTACTACTACTACTACTACTACTACTACTACTACTACTACTACTGTTAGATGAGTCATTTGGACTCTCAGGGTTCTCGGTTACTCTTCCCATTTTGCCGCCCTGTCAACTATGGAAGACAAAGATAGACAAATACAAAAGAGATCGTGTTCATGCGTTCTTCCTCACAGACCCTGCATCCTTTTCTGCATATGAGCGACGGACAAAATTATTGGCTGACTTATTTAGTCACGGCATGACCCTAAACCTATGTTGAGGGCTTTGTTTCTGTGGAAAACGATATGGTCCCCACCAAAAACGATAATCTTGTTAAGATGTAGTGGGTACAAAGATGTTTGTGGTTACCAGATGCGATTGCATTTGCAAGTTTATTTGAGCATATTTGAGCTAAACCGATGGGCACCTCTTTTCATCAATGATAATCCCAGACAACTTCCCAAACGATAATCCAAACGATAAGCGAACGATGACCTAAATGTCACGCCAGGCACTCCGTAGACCTACTTCTCCACATTACTAGTGTTGGTCCGAGTGCATAAATCAAGTGCTGTGCCATTCCTGTGCAGAAAGCACTGTAAGCCTCTAATCTGAGGTTGTGAGTCATATTTTTTGTTTTAGCCTATGTGCTGGTATGCTATGCTAACTACGGTTTGGAGAAACATTGGAGAACGATATGGACCCCACCAAAAACGATAATCATGTCAAATGGTATTGCGCTACACAAGTAATTTTGTCCGCTGCTCATATGGTGTTTGCGACATAGGTCATTTTTGGCACCCATCCATCTCGATCCACGTCATCCTCTCATGCAGTCCCGGTACTTTCCGATTTGAAACCCCTTCAAGTGGGTTCCTTTCAAGAAAGCCAGTGGTGTCCCGCCTTGGGTCCTTCCCATTGACCAATGGTGGTGGTTGATGCACGCATCGTCACACATCCGCTTGTATAGTAGACCCTCACAACTCCCAGCTGAACTCGAACATAGTTGGTTTCAACTTGAGTCAACCGGGTTCGTTTCGCGCTGCGTTGCACTGCTTCTTGCCGTTCCTTACTCCGTTCGAGCGCAGACACGCATGCGTGCAGGTGCCCTATGCCGTGTCAAAGGCTATGATCTCCAAGGTCCACACAACCAGTCTCGGTGCGTGAATCGTGGGGGGCCGGACCGGGTGGAATAAGGTTTCCACTCCAGAAGACCACCCCCACTTCGTGTGGACCAGCAGGGTCAGAACCCTAGTTCGATTGTCCTAGTTGGGTACCCCTAAGCCTGGTGACGGGTCCTATTTACGGTCACTGGCTACCTTTGTAGGGAGTTGGGATCTGGGGTGGATTCCAGATCTTCAAGCACCAAATCCACCAAACTCCCACTGCGATTCCTTCGAGAAGGAGGTGTTTGGCGCACCAGGGGACCGGCCGGTGGACCGGCCTGCGGCTGGTGGACTCCGGACTGGTCGGGCTCCAGGTGGTTTTGATCCATCCCTGTTTGGGGTATGCGTTGGGTCAGAGTTTGGCGCCCACCAGAACCACCGCACCTATCTATCTATCTCATAACTCATTGGATCACTGTAGGGGAGCAGATCGCCTATCAGAGGGGATGTTTGTAAGTTGATTTGGGATGACTCTGGCGGGGTTGGTTTCTCATCTTCGCACGAGCGGCCTGGGTGATTGGCTGAAGCCCTTTGGTAAAGGCGACACGGGCAGAGCAACCTATCTCTCGTTGAGCGACCAGATGGAGTTCGCAGTTCGACGCTGGAATACGCTGGACGCTCTAATTGGTGACGACCACACGCAAGAGAACCACCGTTTGGCCGGATGGGATGATGGAGAACAGTCCGCTGAAGCTCCACGTCGATTGGAGTAATATACTTGAGCACATGGAGAAAGTTATACAATGGCCAGACAGATCCTACGTAAGACCTTAGGGCTCCATGAATTTGTAGAAGCAAAGTGCTTTGTATAGAACTATATATATAATTAAATGCTGAACTGTACCTACTCACACATTGTTGTTGTCTCAAAACGGATGGCAAACCCCATGGTGTAGAGGATCACAGCACTTTGTCATTAGCAAACGGATCGTTCTAGAAGTCTGCCAAGTCTAACATACCAACCACTTACCCGTGCATCTTACCGAGTAGACCCACACATTCTACACTCTCACGTTCCATGGAAGTGGATGGCATGGTCCCTTGAAAGACGACTTCCTCCAAAAACAGCAAGGTGTCCAGCTCTATGGTAATTAGTGAGTCAGAGTATACGGTCATCCTGGAGCAGATAGAAGATGGGAGTTTCCCCAAACCAATCGGATAGATTTCTCATGTCCTTGGATAGTTTCAGATTCTATTTACTTCCGTTACTTCTAGGCCCTAGGCTTCTAGGCCTAGGATGGTCTTCTACATGGCATTTCTTTGAGGCTCGGAGGCCACCACGAGCTCGCAGCTCGCAGGCCACGGAGCTTCGCTTGCGCGCTGTCGGGCTGGAAGGGGTCCAGCACGAGTACATTGGCAGCGACACCAACCGCGGGATTTCAGGCGAGGAGAGCTTTCGTTTCGACGAGCTTTCATTTCGACGTGGAAAGGGGGGCATATCGGGTGGCAAGGCATCCAAGACATGGTGTTTTCCTGCAATGTTCTTTGCTTTTCCTTATATTAGATCACCTTGTCCTGCATTAAATTCACCTTTTCCTCCTGATATAAATCACCTTTGGCCTGGGGGAAATATGATGAACGATTTGTTTTCGGTTCCGGAAGCACATCCCAGGAGACGTATAGCATACGTCGATAGCTATGAATGGTAAGCCCTAGGGCTCCAACGAGCTCCGTTTCGAAGGTGGTTGAGGTGTATTTGGGGGATCAGTCCCTACCTTCCGAGGATGTGGGCCGGGAGGTTTAGGGATAGATGATTGGATCAGGATCCCGTCAAAGAATGAGTCGTGTTGAAGATGAGGGCCTTTTGGATGATCGGTACAGCAATCGACCTTGCTGATGAAGACGTGTTCCAAACATGTTCCAGATTATTTTAAGGCACGCATTAGTCAATTTGTAAATGGCCACCACAAGGCTCTATAGAAAGTCTTCATTTGGTCCATTTGATCCTCCTGATTGCAAGTCAATAAAGAACTTCTAGACTACCCAGCTTCGACTTGTTTGCTCACTCAGGAGTCAGCCGAGGACTTTCTCGTTCTCCATGTAAACAAGCAACAAGGTCTTAGTAAACAAGAAAACTGTCTTGCCGAACACGGGGGCCCAGAGATTCTGCAGGACTTGGGACCGCATAACCCGGAAAAAGAAGACTTCAAGCCAGCCACATGACCGGAGAAAAGATGAAACCAACCAACCCTGAAACATCTTTGGAAGCACACCGCCATTGCGTTCGACAAAACCGAATGGTGATCAAATGATGCAGTTGGCCTTTCGTACGACTGGCTGATCCATGCTGATTCCGCTTCTCATATGGCGACGCAGACCGAAACCAAGTTGGCCAGACAAATATGTGAGCCAGCCGAGAAGGTGGCATGAAGTGCCTCAGTGGCATGGCTTCAGGGACGTGCGAACGGATTTGATGCTTTAGAACGCCATCGTATGACGTCATGATCATGTCCTTCTTGCTCTCGTTTCGGTCCAAGTCGGAGCAGAACACTGTGGAGTTGATTCAAAAGTATGTTGGACGCAGAGCGGCTGGCCTATGCTGTCACAGCCGCCTGCGCAGCATTGGCGGGAGTGATTGGTCAGCACCTACATATAAATGTTTGGAGCAAAGCGCTTATAGTGCTACTAGTGGCTGCTGACGTGGGGAAGCCCACTGGTCTAGACGAGGCGCGTAGCGCCCCGGCGCGTAGCGCCACGGAGTGTGCTTCTCGTCCTGGGAGGTGGGCGGACATCCAGGCGCCGGAGCCGCCGAAAACGGCTGAAATGGTCGGCTCCATCGTCGGTGGCCCCTACTTAGTGGTATGCTCCCTGAGGTAGTAAAGGAAGACAACGACCACTTGGACCATGTTCCTCTACAAACAGTGCTCCTGATGATTGATTTCATCATCTATTTCAGTGAGCTTAGTTTCATTGGTGTTTGCCGGGAGCCTCCCAAAGGTCCGAAGGTCAAAGGAGTGAACGTTTGACCAACGAATGCCACGCCATGCCAGGCCGGCCTCAGGTTGACACGGCGTGCGAAAGGTGAACGTGTGTATTCGAGTGACCATATTGTAAGGGCTCCACCCTGCGGAGGTCCCAGGTGCCGCCCCGCCTAGGTGTTAGCTAGGCCGGGGTTGGCGGATATAGGAGGAAGGGTGACAATGATGTGAAAGGCTTTCATGTGCATGTCACATGAGAAGATGCCGGCACATGGTGCACAGACACTTTGTGCAGATGAACTGTCGGTGCATCCGACATGCGAAACAAACGTTTCCTTGGAAATGACACTCTGCCTATTTGATTTCCTTGGACTGTGTGTGTGTGTGATGGTGTGCGTGTGTGAGAGCCTCCCAGCAACCTTAAGACCTTAAGCCTTAAGCTGACAAAAATCACAACACTTCTGCAACTGTTTCACCAACAGTCCGGCTTCGGCCTACCCCAAAAACCGCCTAAACGTCCCCGTCCCACGACCAGTTCGGTCGCCTGCGGCCAGCCTCTCAGGCGGCCAGCGAAGGCGCGTGAGCCTCGCCTGCGGCTTGGCCACGGGCGCGCAGATCTTCTTCTGCGACGAGCCAACCAGCGGGTCCGGGGAGCCAATGGGGTGAAGGGAGACAGGGAGACGTGTGCAAAGCAGGATGTGCTGGAGGTCCATGGTATGGCCAGGTATGTCAGGGCCTGAGGATCAATTGGCATTCATACACACTGTTTCAGTGCCCCGAAGAATTACCTATATAATAACATCGGACTTGAGGCATTCATCAGACCAATTTTGAGGGTTTTTGCTGATAGTTAACCCACCAACGATCAGCATCACGCAGTTTGGAGAATCGATCCTTTGGGAAGTTTCTTGTTCAGTTTTATTCCCTTAGAATGCCCAACAGGTTTTTGAGAGGGCTCTTCAGTGCATTTCTCGGGCCACTGACTCTCCATGAACCATGTTCTCGCCCATGGGCGAGCTCGATGTGAGACTGAGACCCCGCCAGGTTGAGTGCTACCGACGCCGAGCAATGTGTGCGCTACATGCGTTTTCCTGGCTGAAGGGCAGGTGGGTGGTCGTGCGGACGGAAACACATGGAAAGGGGTTGCTTAGCAACGCCGAGCCTGGAATGAGGAACATCGATGTGTGTTTCACAAAACTGCCTGAGGGAGCACTGGGGGCGGACTTGACTGAGGTTTGCTATGCAAGAAGTACAACGTCACCATCATTTTGGCGATTCATCAGCCGCGACAGGAGGCCTTTTTTCACCAGGTTGAGGTTGAGTCACCAAGAACCTGGAGGAAGGGGGAAGACTCAAGAGTGTCAAATATGCCAAATCTACGAAGGTTTGCTGACAGGTCCCACCTAATAGCAGAAGTTTGCTGACCAGGAGGGGGTTTTGGATGGTTTTGGCATCCAAGTTGGACATGTCGGGGCAATATCCGTATCCGTAGTCTATCAGTGACCTTCCATGTTCTCATCCTCAAAATCACTTGAAAGAAAGAATGCTATATGAGTTTCAGCTGAGCTTCATTTCAGCTTCGAGTTCCAGCTGCTCAGTTTGCTTCAGGTGGCCGTTCTCTTTGATCACTTGCTCCTGCTCACCGCCAATCCTGGGGACTTGGCGCCTCGATGTCCGTTTCCGAACCGGCCAAGCATCGGTACACAACATGTGTGGACCCTCTAAGGGGTGCCCTGTCTGGAAGCCTATAGGTAGTGTGGGGTAGTCCAGCCAGGACACCCCGACAGGAGGGTCCTGGTACCATGTGTTTACCACCATAGTTGTCGTTCTGATATTTGTTTAAAGGCGCCCCCTGTTTGGAGGGAAGAACTTACACCAATCGATACAGTGTTTTGTGCATGGATTCGTTGTTGGGGTCACTGCCCCTCGTCCGGTCACCAGACCCCACAGCGACGCGAGCTTTTCGGAGTTTTTTTTTCCGGTGGACAATGATGGAACATGGATGAAAAATGAAATTTCTTCAATCTGATAATTCCACTTGAAATTGAATTTGTTGTTTGATTTGTTTGGCATATTGTGATTGGGATTTGATCCGTTTTTCAATGTTGTTTTTTCCGATCTGTTTGGACCGCTCACCACCATCAAGGCAAGCTTGGATATGTGATATGTTTCAACCTGTCTCATGTCAGGAGGACTCCAACATGGCCCCTGACTGAAAAACCCGAGGATTTCGGGATGCGACGCTTTGCAACAGCACCGGCGCGCCGCGTGAAACGAGGTCTACAACGGCCGCATGAGAGATGCCGCAGAGTATTGGAGTGCCTGGGAATGCGCCCAGGAAGAGAGGTAGCCAGTGACCGTACATAGGACCCGTCGCCTGGGGTCATATATATGGGTTGGCTTGTAGTGTTCTTCAGCCTGTGTGGTCGCCTCCTGGAATATGTCGGGACCATTTCACCTTGACTGCTGGCCTTCTTTATCCAAGAGCCGTGGAAAAACGCGGGCAGCTTCCCTGAAAGGGGCCCTCCTGTGACGAAAACACCCCCCAACTATCATGTCCAAGCCATGTCCAACACATCAACCTTGGGAAGCATCAAACCAGCCCCGTGTTTCATGGGTGCTTTTTGTTCCCCTCGCAGCCTCGAGCTGCCAGGGTTTCATGGGGCGGACCCCTTGAGGCAATGCTGGCTTTCCAGTGCCCACCTTGGTCTCGCCCACGGACTACTTCCTGGATTTGGTGACCCCTGGCGGCGAGGAGCGGACGAATCGACGTGAGATGTTCAGTGAGGAGGGGAGACAACCGGCATAGACCCCAGATGGCGGGCGTATGGGTTTCAAGGACACGCTGCTGACGGCTGTCATCACAGCATGCAACATCAGACCATTCCACCACTATGCGCAACATCTATCAGCTGAATGCGCTCGCTTTGCCCAGCACAGATGTAAAACTGCAAGATCGGCAAGGACCAGCCAAAACTGCCCAGACGACATGATGATCATTGCTGCAGGACATAATGTCATCCCAAGGCATGTCATCCTTGGCATGACAGCATGTCGATGTCACCCCTGGCATGACACGATGTCATCCCTGGCATGACCTGATGTCGCCCCTGGCATGACGTGATTTCATTCTGGGCATGACACATGATGTCACCCCTGGCATGACGCAAAACGAAACGCCGATCCAGAGCAAGCGCCTGCACCAGAGCCAGCTCCTTTACCTGCACTAGCATCAGCACGGCAGCAGCACCTGCAAAACCAAAACGCCAATCCAGAGACAGCATCTGCACCTGTGCCAGCATCAGCACGGCAGCAGCTGGACCTGCATCAGCATGGCAGCAGGACGCAAAACCAAAACGTCGATCCAGAGCCACACCATTAAAAAGTTATATAAAGCCCCCATAGCCTGCAGCTCTCTGGGGAAAAACAACAATCCATATTTACCAACATTGACCAAGTTTTTGGGTTAATATTCCATATAATGGATTGCTTTGGGAAAGAGCAGGCTCGACGTGTGCGCCTGTCCCAATGGCCCAAACCAACAGCCAGCCAACTCCTGTCCAGCCTCATAGAGTGACCGACTTGGGCTGAACTTCGGGATTGTGGTCACTTGCAGACCTCATTTTGGGATCTCAAAAGGGTCACTGGGAAGGTGTTGTTTTTGTTTTAGGGGAGGTGTTCTCCAAGTGGTGATTGGTTCGGGGGTACGGGACTTGGAAGCGCCCGGGACTGAGGTCTTTTGTGGATTTGAGTGTTTGGGAAGGTGTTTGGTCGTCTTAATTTAATGGTGTAAAAGGAAGCAAGCTAAACAAGTTCAAACCCTGCAGTTATCAAGGAAACCTGTTCACCACACTGCCCCTGGGAACAGTGGCGGGATGTCTCGAAACGCTCGAAACACTTGTCCAAATCCATTTTGGTGAAATGTGTTTTTTTAAAATATATTTTTAAGGGCCTCCAACGCAATCGCAATGCTCTCTACTGATGGATGAATTCCAACACCCTCCTGATGCAGAATGGTGACATTCCCAGACCCCCCCAGCTCTTCTCCAAACATGTGATTGGCATGGCCCATGAAACCCTGAAATTAAATCAAATGAACATTCCAGCCGGGGAGACCCCTGAAATAAACTGGTTCCCAATCCAAAAATCCCTGAGTTTTGACCGTGCTTTTTCATGGCAGGACTCGCAAGCGCAGCACTTCCTGGATTACTTCAGTAGAGCCTCAGCAATTGGCTTTGCACCCGGTCCGTCGAGAAGAAGTTGGTTCCAGACAGTGTGCCCAAGTGTGCCCTAAGACTTGAGTGTATATATTAGGCCATGTTGAAGTTGCTTTGCACTGGGGCCCTCATCAGAGTTCAATATATTTGATGTCACATTGATTATGTTTCTTTTTGTATACCTCTTGTACCTTCAAGTGCTTTCTTCACAGGTTTCAGGAAGGGCCCTGGAGGTTCTACGTGCGCTCCACCAGTGACTGATGGGCAAAGGCGACCCAGCGGAGACCCGGTCGTAGTCCCAAGGTTCCAGCACAAGGGCAATCCCACCCGCTGGCTGCATGGGCCACATGGATTGGACAAATAAGATGGAAGAAGCAACTTGCTGAACAAACATAACCCTTAGAAGTCCAGTTCGACCATCGTTGTCATCACTTCAGTCAGCAATTCCTAGACTCAGGGAGAGAGAACAGACCGGAAAACCATCTTCCTGGCCTCCCGGGGGAGTGACATACGGTGACATCCTCCCTTGAAATCAGTTCTGGAACGGTCCTCCAAGTCGCTCGTGTTTGGAACTGTGCGTTGAACGCGATGCGAAGAACACGAGGAACGGCCAAGCCGGAGATCGAGAGTCAAGTCAACGTGGAGCTGAATTATGAGATGCTGAGCAGCAATCGTTCCGGGTACGTTTGTCGCACTCGGTGCTTCTGTTGCGCTTGGATCCAGACTTGGGGGAAATCTGCCAAGTTTCTCAAACCAGCATGACTCCATGACTCAAAAAGCGATGATTGTTTACGCCCTACCGGTCAAAGACCCCATTTTACTGCAGTTTGTCATACAAAAGCACTACTCGAAGAGGTCAAAGACCCGGTTTTGCTTGGTCACACTGGACTTGTAGCGGACGTCAACCCAACGCCGCACCATTCTCAGGCCTATGTACGGCTTCAAAAACGTAATGTCCATCCCAAAACTGGTGATGCAGTCATTGCCTTGACATACGCACGTGTCAACCAACAACTTGCACAGTGGTCACCCGTGTCAGCCGCCAGTCTGCCCTTGCCCAACCCACACCGCCTATGGTTTTTTAAACTTGCATATGGAGTCGCACAGTAGCATCCGCCAAACGTGGCGACACATGTCCACACTCAAATGGCACCCGGCAACAGCACCACTTGCAGGTGATCTTGGTATAAGCTGTTATGAACTGGCTGTGTCGTTCTTGTGCTATACCGGTATGGAGGGTGCCATGGCGGTACGTCGAGGCCCTTCCACTTGCTGATACCCGCATCCAACTGTTACCGCCCAAGTGCGACAGGCCGAGAGCGACAACAAGCAGAAACGGGCCTTCGACTCGTACTCCAACACCTGGCAACCTTTTCGCAACATAAACTGCTTCCGCGTTATAAGAAGACACGTGCAGGTAGCATGGCGGCTTTGGGCTTTGACAATACAATTACTGTAAAGCAGGCATCTCCAGCCGACCTATCCTATACCAAATGGTGCCAAGACCATGGCAGCAATCAATAGCTTCCAGCTGTCACAAAAACATGATCCACCATTCTCTACAGATCATCCCATCCGACTCGATAATCTGGTGCCGCAAGTTCAGTGCGACACCCTAACGGAGATTGCGTTCAAACAACGGTGTGCACTTAAGGATCGCGCTTACAAATTCATTCGCACGCAAGGAGGCCTGGATAACCTCCCAGATCCCTTTCCCAAGTATAGGTTCGTGACCCATGATGCATAGTTGTTTGTCCACTTCCCATCCTGGCCGCACATACAAACTCGTAGCTTCACACTCCATCTATAGTTCCAATGTACAATGTTCGGGCCCTTCCAGGCCCCGTAATACACGGGAAGGGACTTTCGGGGCGGCGAACGAGTGACATTTGTCCGGAAGTCGTGTTACCCAAGCAATGGGTTGTGGTCTATGTCCTTTTTCGAGAAGGTCCTGTGAATGGATGTGGGTGTGAAATAGGGAGACCTCCCAGGCAACGACGCCTGGGAGGTTCAAACCCACCCAGGGCCAGGGGGGTTCCCAATTCAAATGCACCACCCATATATGCTATGTAGCTGCAAGTCTATGCACAGTGATCGCGCCACCTCTTTTTTTTGGACTGGTTGCTGGTTTCCCCACTAGGGTGACACCCAGATGCAAGGGAGGAGCCATTGGATTTTTCCACGGAAATGGCGAAATGCGTATTGTGGCCAATTTGTTGGGTTTTGCCAAACCAGCACCATGACATAGATTCAGACTTATGGTTTTTTGGTTCTTTGGTTTCACTGTCATAGTGTCCTAGTGCGTTTTTCACCAGAAACACATACTGTACTCAAACCTGTCGCGGCAGAACATTTCGTGAACAAGGACGGGCAACAGTCCAAATGGGGAATATCACTATACTTGCAAGGGCCGCTGTTTGTCACGTTCACCGTCTGAAATGTGGGCGGGGGGAAGTTCGTCACAGCATTTCCAGTAGGTCCCAGGTATGGAGAATCAACATGTCCATAATTTTCCAGGTGTATACACCCTGACGGAGCCACTAACTGGTTTCCTACCATAGTGGTACAAATATGTGCAAATGCTGCAAGGATATATAATATTATAAGATTTTATAAGTATTATACACCCTGAAGCCCCGCATGTGCCAAGGAGGCCGACCTCATGGCAGCTACTCAATGATCGACGAGAGATCCTCACCAGGCGCCGTCCAAACGTTCCAGGTTGGTTCTGCCCGCGTGGACCTTTATAGTCCAATTGTTACTGGGAATGGGATATATATATATACCCAAAATATACGAGTGTCTACAAATGCCTTTTCATGGGTCAAGGCTTGCTTTACTTTAGATTCTAGGATACAAAGCCAGGTTCTCTCACCCCTGTTTTGTAATGATGGTTTTCAAAGGGCTTTGGGCAAAAAACATCCAGCTTCGTGCGAATCCGAAGGATAAAGCAGGGGGCGTGGGACATGTCGATACTATGTGGAAGTATGGTTCAAACATGTTCAAACTATTTATCAGCCAACACCTGTTTCCAAAAGGTTCTGATCGAAGAGAAAGGTGCATTCAACTCGACCATCACTCCTCGGCGCACAACCCGCAGCGACCTGCGCAGGTATGGAGACATGCCTCCACTCCGAGCCTTGGCACCGATGACCCGACGTGGTTCAACGCAGACCGCTTGGACGTTGGACCATCGGTCAGGACCTGACTGGACCCCATGGGCGTTGGTCCAAAAAAGCAACCAGTCAGGAACGGACCCAGGTTCTAGTCAGACTGGACTTAGTTCTGGGTGTCCCCGTAAGGACCAACTCACCCGGGTGAATGGATGTGAACGATGAACCGTTTGGAGCGGAAGTCACATGACGAGGCTAGCCACTATGGAGAATCAGTTTGGGCAAAAGAAGTGCCCGTTGAGATGCACTAGTAGCTATAGGTTATAGTCATTAGTGAAGTACAGTTTGCTTATACAGCTGGTTGCCACAACATGATCCAGAATCTCTTTAATTTGATTCCAGTTCTTTGTTTTGGTCAGCTGCCCCCACTCCAAAAGCTGCCACCGTCCGTGGCCCGCTTCCTTCCGTCACTGAGACTGGGAGCTGTCACGGGACCCCCGGCATTTCGCGTCCTCGCGTCGCGGGCCGCCTTCCACAGGAAAGAGCGTCTATGGCGTCCGCTTCCGGACCCAACTTCTCAAAGTCTTTTGCCGGCAGCTCCGGCTACTGGCCACCTGGCGGCGCTGCAGATCTGGTGCGGGCGTGGGGGGCTGGGGGCGCGGAGTCCTTGGCAGTCCGACGTAGCATCACGGCATCACGCGTGGAGGGTGAAGGGAAGGGGTTCAGGTCCATGGTGGCAAATACTGCCTTGACACCAGAAGGTCCACATCATGTACAATGATTTCAGAGTAGATGGCGCAAACCCCAAGATGACTTTAGATTAGATGGGTGTAAACCACCTTTTGGAGATTGTGCCATGTTCTCTCAAACCACTGTAACAAGCTACCCTTTCTGAAACAAAGGTTTGGGGCCTACATCAGAACTCTCCGTCTGAAACGCCAGCCGACCAATGGTGAAACGCACCGGTGACACGTGTTACCTTCGCTGAGGTTCGGGATCAACAAGGTCTTATCACTGACATCTTGGTGGCCATTGTGCCACCTGGCGCAAAGATCGCGTTAAGCAGATAGGGTGGCCGATGGATTGTCCAAATTGATAGACATGGCATCTATTCTATTTTCGGGAGGTACTGTGTTTGTCCATCAATGGTGGGCATGCATGTACTATTGTGAAGATCTTTTGTCAACAAATTGTGAATCATTTGAATGTCATATAAGACACATCGAAGAGCACATATATGTACACATAGCAAAAACTGCTCTATGGTTTATGGCTCCCATACAATTCCGGATCTGTGATTGTGCTCTCATCACATGCGCGCATTGTTGGCGTTAGCTTTGCGGGGCTTGTGGGCGTCCAGCTGCGCGCCCTGTCAACTCTTGCAGGCAAGGCTTACTGGTGGGGAGTGCTAACATTGGCATCGGCAACTTCAGCGGAGCTTCAGCCGCAGAGGGATGGGGCGACTGAGGCGAGGCCCATCCTGGCCTTGAGAACTTGAAGTCTGGGAGCAGCAAGGGCAACCCTTTCCCAGACACGACCGAATACATACATGCCAACATTGACCCCGGGTCTATCAACCACCAATGTATGTACATGCATGTAGATATGCCCATGTGTGCCCCTAAACGCTCGTCTTCCTTGCGTTTCGAAGCCAAACCCCACCAACTCCGTCGATGCGTCGGCTTCTCGTTTTAGAGTTTTGTTGTACCTTAGGGATGCTTCAGTCCTGAGATCATCCCCCTTTGAGAGTTGTCCGCTGCCCTCGTGGCAAGCATCCCCAAAACTGCGCGGCCAGCTGCTGTGGCCGCCGCGGCCGGTACCTGTCACAGCTACCAGCAAGACCACGGGTTATTTAAGGGATGTGTTTGTGTTTTTTCGGACACCCCGAGTCACCTCTGAGGGGTTATCAGGGGTTAACTATAACTATTGAGGTAGAATTGTTGAGGTGTTTCACCAAGGCTCCAGAGTTGTAACAGCAGCCTGCATTACGTCCATGGAGCTCTGGCTCCAGGTCTGGTCACGAGACGTGGCTGACTTGTACAAAAACTCACCATAAGCATGTCGCCCACAAAAGTCACAGGTCTATGACCCTTTCTTGTCCAATTGCAAGTCGACCACCAGGCAGATTAAAGCTGCAGCAAGTCACAGGTATGGGATCAAATGATTAAATTGGTAGATACAACTACAATACCCTGCGCCTCCAAGGCTACAACCAGGCGGGTTTCTTCTTCATGCTCATCATGACTTGCGCACTGAGTGGCATCAAGGTCATGCCCAAGGCACTCAGCGAGCGAACGGTGCGGACGCCTGGCATCGGCCGATGGGGAGCTGAGCACGGCCGATGCGTTCGGAAGAGGTGAACACCCTCCGCACATGGTCGACCTGGCGATGCATATATGTAGGAATCATGTAGGAATCTTGTGAAAACAAGCCCCCCCCATATGATGGGGGCTGAGCGCATTCAACTGGGGGGCTTTATAATAGTCTAGGTGATTGCTACATGTTCCATCATGTTCCTACCTGGCTTTGGGCGTTCTTGCCTCCCCTCAAGCAACCAGCCCAGAACTCCAGATCCTGTGCCATGGTGTGCGGTTTTGGGTCGTGACACCGTGGGGGCCGAACTTCGAGGATCATCCGTTCGTTCTGCCGCATCGGCACGGTTCGCGACGACGATGGAACCCAGATCGGTTCGTTCGCCTGGTCATTTTGGGTGGCAGCAAGAGCTGCGAACGGAAGATGTTGGGATGCCATCCGCTCAGAACCTGAAGATTGGAAGTTCTGCAGGGCCACTGCAACAAAAGAAGGAGATGAAAAGACTAAACCCAAATACTCCATGTATGGAACTTTCATGTGGTTCTATGTGTGTAACAGTCCCATGAGTTGAGTCTGGGAAGGAAACCAACCTCGGGATTCGACACATGCGTATCACAGCAAGGTGATGAAGATGGAAGTTTCAGAGGTTCTCTACAACGACTGGGCACCTCGTTTGGTCGAAACATGTTTGACTCGAGATGGTTGGGTGGGCATCCGACCGAAAGAGGTGTCATACATGCCTTTCTGGGTCTGGTTCAACATGGAGTCATGTCGCATTATTTGTTTCCCCTGTGTTTCAGAGGTGAAGTTTCTCATGCAGAGTCGGATGGCGATGCGCGCGTGGTTGGGATGTTTCACTCACCACACCGGATGTTGTGCCTGCAGGATGCAGGTTCCCAAGACTTGGGAGGGATTCATCGAAACTGTTTGAGTTCAATTGGGTCGCTTTTCCAATATGGGCTCAAGAAGAGGGTAAGTTGAGGTTGACAAGTTATGTATCAATATGTATGATATATTCTATAGGGGTGAAACAACCGAAATGCACGACCATACCTGGAAAATTTCCGAAACCTTTGCTCAGCCTACCTACAGGAGATGTAATTCGGTCAGGTTTTGCAGACGCTTCTTGCAAGAGTCGTTGAAAGATGTTGAAAGGCAGGTGCAGCCCAAGCCCTTCGGAAATCCCAAGCACGCTCGCAATCCATAATCCATAAGGCTTCTTTTCTGAACATTGAAAGAGATTGAAAGCACAAGATCAATCAGACTGTGTTTGAGAGGCCTCTTCAGAGGCCATGTTCTGAAAGTGAGTTCCCATTTTCGGGTTCTGAAAGAGGCAGAACCACAGCAGGACCGGCGTTGACGGGCCGCTCCGATTCTCAACGCACACCAAGCCCTTCACGGTCCAATCCGAACTCAAGAAAGAACTCAAGATATCACCCTCAGCTTTGGAATGGTTTCACTATGTTCCATGGCCCAACCAAGAACAAACATCATTAAAATAGAGACATCAGGGGACTTTCGCCTTTCGCCGTAGCTGCTGGTTGCAGTTGTGAGGCCTACATCCTGTCCTTCACCTTTCTGAATGGCATCGTCTCGGTCCTGTCCAATTCGATTTTTGCAGCTCGGAGATCACCGAGCGTGCAACGGAATTGAATTTATCAATGGGCTTGGCAGGGTGCATGCAAAGAACAGATGCCATGCAGGTGATGCCGGAGGTTCAAATATCAATTTACTCGCTATCCTTTTTTCCCCTTTCACATGATGCCCGGCATGTACTTGTTACATCTTGTTACTACTACTGCAGCATGCAGGAGAGGCGGAGGAACTTGTGACATTGTCCATGCCCACTGGAGAGGATGCTGACACCCCTAGTTCCCTTGATTCGTGTTATGGTCCGTATGGTGCGGTTTCACGGGCCTTGCGTGGACACCAGAATGTCATGATACAACGGGAGGGAAGAGCACGTCCGTTGGACCTTGAAGGGTCACTCCCCGAAGGGCCCCTTGGATCGAAGCTTCGAGAAAAAAAAAGAAAACGCACGACATCACCACGCGAAGTGAATGACATTGGTCCCGGTTTCGGTGGCCGAAGACCAAACAGGTTTCACTCCATGTAGCCATCGATGTTGTTCAAAAAGTGCTTCCTTTCATGTGCCACCAATGCGATTTGACGCGCCCGTTTTGGAGGGGGTTTTCAGCTCTAGGTCCTGGTGGTCTTCATCCTCAGCAAGCTCCAGTGGGAGGTCTTCCCAGCCGTTTTGCTGTGGAACAGTGTCATTTGGCGAAGGAAGGGCACCGGTTTGGGAGGCCCCAGATGGGTGGTGCGAGACTGGAAAAGGCCGAAGACCAAGCTGGTTGTCTTGAGTGTGCATGGATGGCCTCTATGCTTTTTGGTCCTCCGCTGGGGGGTGACTTCTTACAGGGAGACATGTCCCATCATGTTCTTTTCGGTTGCGCAAAGGATCATCCAAGCAAAGGATCATTTGATGAAGTCATGTGCCGAAGTCACATTGGAAAAAGGCATGCTTAGGAGCAAGTGCTTTGCTCGATTTTGGAGCATTTGAATTGGTATGCCAATTCCCGACATGGTGTCCTGCGAGTTTTGGGATGCATAGGGACTACAGGAGGTGGCATTTTGTTCAACACCGCCCATTTCATGGACGGTGTTGACCACCTTCGATACTGCAACAGATCTTGTGACCATTGCAGTGGCTTAAGCTCGACCCTTGTAGATGCAATTTGGATTTGTTTGAGCTAATTGAAGTCATGTCGTAAAGTTCCTGAGAACGGGGATGAGTCATGCCTCATCACCAGGGTCATGACTCATAAAGCTAAATGTATATAGATCAGCCATGACAGTCAGTGAGAGTCAGCCACGAAAAGCCGAGGTGATTTTTGTGGCCATGGACAGCCTTTACGGCATGGTTGCTGCGATGGCCAAGGATGCCAGCAGCCGCTCACATGCAGGGGGAAAACGTGCGTGTGGATGCAGCAAAATAGCTTTTTCAAGGACAACTGGTGGTACTAGTATCATGAGGTAACTCAAATGGTTGTGTATTAAAATAAGGAGACCTACCAGGCAACGACTCCCTGGAAGATGGGAAATAGACCAGTCTACCCATTGGGTTAGGGGTCTCCCTCTTCAAATGACTAAAATACCGAGTCCAATATGTGACAAATTGGAAAACTGTGGAGGGGGTGTAGACTCTGTAGACTTGCTTCCGGTCTTGTGGGTCTTCATCCACCACAGGGGGGAGCGCTTTAACCAAGTCCAATCCAAATGCCTTGACGTCGCGTTGAGACGAGACGATGAGGTGCGCAGATTATTTTGACGCCCTTCCTCACCTTGGCCATGCTCTTCAACGGCTTTACCGTCTCAAGGAACCTGGGACAGATAGATGGTCAGAGGGTCGATCCCCATGGCTGGTTGACAACTGCATCATGTCGAAAACACCAAAGACATTTGCCTACATTGGGTGACTTCAGAGGTCAATGTAGTGCCCAGTCGTGCAAGTCCCGTGGAGAACGTGGTGCAAATGGATTTCTGATGGGTTTCGGGGTGCCAATGGATGGAGTTTGCATCTTAAAGCTTCGGCCACAGGTGAGGTCAGCTCGACCTTGGCTGAGTTGACTACTCAGTCAGTTTGGAGTCGAGTCGACATGCCCCAAAAACGTGGATCACCTGCAAAGCCTTTTTGAGGTCATGGGCTTCCCGACAACGGTACGAACTGGTGGAAAAAACCTTACATTCATTCGTTTTCTGCCAGACCAGAGAGTCGATGGCAAGGCCAGAATACCTGGCTAGACAGGCAGAACAGGTGGAAAAAGCTTACAGGATAGTTGCAGGTTAACGTGTTCTTCTCCAGGGAAGCGGACGGAGTCAGTTCTATTGGTAGGCCTCCTTTGTGCACAGGAAACCCGTTGGCAAAAGAAGAGTAGACCACCTGCATTTCACTGATCTCAGATAAATAAATATTCGCACTCAGAACATCAAATCTGGCTTTTCTCTTGCATCCAGAAGCATCCAACATGCTTTCTCAGTCTTGGAGGTGCACTGGTCCACTGGTCAGCCATTTTCGACTCAGCTGTCCCACCGCCCAGTGGCTCCGCCGAGGAAGTCGGTGCCAGCCTTTATGCTTTGGGCCTTGGAGATGTCTCCGGTGTCGCACACGCTGGAGGAATTGACCTATAGCATCCAACGCACGAGCTTCGAACGCAGGGCCCGTAGGGCGGTTGGGGAAATCAGCGGAGACGGTCTAGGGCTGACAAGGGGAGGTTAGATATCTAGCTGCTTAGGGAGCGAAGGAGGGGTATCCATATGCCCGATTGCTCTCCAACCCCTTGATAGATATGGTTGGAAAGCGGTCAGACGAGATTGCAAGGGCAATTTATATAGCTAGATGTTGGAAAGCGGGCAGGATGACAGTTCTTTTATTGTTCATTGAACAATGCTTTATGTGGTTTTGGGCGGTCAATTGTGTTATTTTGTTTAAGTTATGGAGAGGTAGTTGTTGTCATTGTTGATAGGGCGTTTTTTTTGGTGATTAGGGTGATGTTACTTCTCTTGTGTCGTTTCGTCACTTAGCAGTAGCTGGGCAAAAGTGTGGAAGGGTGATTTTACACATATATATATATATATTGTAATATATATTGTAATATATATATATAATATATATATATACACATATAAACGAATTAAGCAAATACTTGATGAATATGGCTTATCCAAGTGTTTTCCATTGAGCGCATTTGATGAGGACTTCTGTATGGCATGTTGGCACCATTTTTGCAGAGATGGCAGGGACGTATGTTCCAACTGTTCGGTAATCACTAGGTCATCCATAGGACACAACAGAATGCCGCGGGGCATATAACCTGTTTGAGAAATTCCTCGTTGTCCAAGGACTGATAGCATGGAGCTCCAGATCGTCATTGACCAATTCGGCCGCTGGGATTTGATCGAGGATTCCATGTCCGCAATCCGTGAGCAGAAATCGCCAATCTGAAGAAAGACTCTTGAGATACAGAGCCCTGCAAAGAGCCGGCAAGTCTAAAGATCCAATAAAGCCTAGAGCATGAGAGAACCCTGCAAGGTGCGCTATGGCCCTACGATTTCAAGGGCTGGACATGTTTTCTGGAAGCAGGAGTTCTCTTTAATGAGATATACAACCGCAAAGCTTTTTCCCAGCAAACATCCTTGGCAGTCTAGAACATGTTTGTCACACCTTTCATTCTGCCACCGCTAGCGCTTGCACAACCCTGGACATAGATTGTCCAACAATGACAGATGACACCCACAGCGACTGGGGCATCCCAGATAGTCCATCACTCAACTTCATCGCAGATTTGCTTGGCCCTGGAACTTTAAGTGGATGGCATGGTCCGGAAGATGGCCTTTCTTTACGAACAGGGGGGCGTTCCACCTGAGTGAGTCAGAGTGTACATGTTGGTCAAACCATACCTGCACCATCCTGTCTGGGTGTCCAATGGAGATCCCTGAGTAGTGTAGGGTAGTCCATCAGATGGTCCTGGTATGAAGTGTTTTGGTTAGATTTGTCACTTGCCACAGGTTATGAGAGCTCGATCAAGGGCGCGATCATCGCGGCTGCTTCGTGGTTTTTCGTTTGCCGTTTGGTGCAGGTGGGGAGCATTCGCTGCTGCTGGTTCGCAAAGGTTGCAATTGCAAACATGTCCAACGGAAGCTGCATTCGAGACACTGAAGAAGATGTTAGTTATTCTGTTCTGATCTTCGGACGTCCAGAATAGGAATCGGTTGGGTCTGTCCTACTACCGGAACAGTCGGTAAATCAGAAGCAAATCCATCATTTCAGAGAGTCTGGCCCTGCAACCTGAGCATCACCATCCCTGCAACGGGCCCGGATTTCGACCCGAGGAATCCCGGTTTTCGCTCGGGAAGAATGCATCCGGTCACGGATGGTCACGGGATGCATTACGCCCAAATATGCCCGTCATGGATCCACATACCGAACCTGAGGTACGGTGAGCAGGGAGACTATTTATGTAGGCTTGGAGGGTCCAACTGCCTTCTGAGAAGATATGTGGATCCATAGGCATGGATGTGTGTCTATATTGACAGACCCTGGGCTTCGAGCCTGCACTGAATATGAGATGCCACCAAGGAGAAGCCGGTGACTTCGGGTGAAAATGCAGCCTGTGACTTTGTGTGTCCCTTCCGCCAGTCTGGGTCGCAAGGCTTTTCTGGCCATTTCTGGCCTCCCAAGCCCCGATTCCAGGTGATTTGCCTGAAGAAAATGCACAATATCGAGCGTTGAGATGGCCACTTGGACGACCAAAAGTGTCGGTGAGTCGGAGTGTCCCAGGTGTCGCTACCTACTCTCTCTCTCTCTCTCTGTCTCTCTCTCTCTCTCTCTCGGTCGGGAGTGTCATGTTTCTAACCCGACGACTTCACGCGCAGACCTCGGCTCCGACCTAGTATTTATACACCCCGATCGGCATAGACCTCTGAAGTGTTGGGGAGGTTAGGCACCCCTTTGGAACTCCCATGGGTACAATCCCTGAAATTCTGAAAACTAAACATGATTGAGCCCCAACAAATTGACCATGGAAGACTCTTTTCTCTACAAAACCGAGAGAGTTTCCCCCCATCTAACCCTTTTTCATGGATCTTTGGAAGACCATTTTTCCCGTACGTCGTTCCAGGAAGACTCGCCGGCGTCGGTTTTTTCATGCCGCCTCGGACACCGCCATCATCACCAAGAGGACATCCATGGAGTCCCCCAAAGGGCAGGACAGGTATCGAAAAGAGGAAAAGAGGCAGCAAATGAACAGGTATCAAAAGGCCTTTTGATGATGAACAGGTATCAAAAGGCCTACCCTACATGGGTACCCTCATGACCGTCATATTTGGTGCGTTTCGGTGACACGGTCCATTTCAGTCCCTGTATCGTTTGCTTTCCATTTCGGTCCGAGGAACCTGCTCGAGATTCGGAGCATGCGATGTGGTGTTCGGCCGTCCAATTCCTGAACCAATGGAACGTTGAAAACTGCACACACTCGGCGGCCTTGCATTTGGGTCCCTCTATGCGACACCTTCCCTTTTCCAGATGGCCGCCGCGAGTCAAGCCTTAATCCAGCTGTGCTCCACCGATTCCTCGCGCTCGGCTCAGGCCGAGAGAGAACCAGAGAAACCCATGGCCGCAAGTGTCGGGTTCCTTCGGCCATCGCCGCCGCAAAGCCAAACTGGTCACTGGAGGAAGCCAAACTGGACCGGTCATGTCCTCCGGAAAAGATCAGAAAATCCAGTGCGAGAACATGGCGAAAAAAAAAGGTGGGACTTCGGGGCTGAACAAGACCCTTGGCAACTGAACAGCAACATCTCTATATGTCTCTATACCATATAGACACCCAAATATATATATATATATATATTATATAGAACAAGTAAATCCCTCAAAGTGTATTGGGACCACTCTATAGTTGTCTTTTTTTCAGTGCCGTGCGCCTTGGACAAGTCGTTCTTTCACTGGAAGACGACTCGTGGGCGGCGTTGATGGGAGTTGATTTGCCCCAAACTGAGACTGGAAGGTCAGGTTGGTCTTGATCATGGACACACAATGACACACATGTTTCCTGATGATGGACAGTGGGTCATGGCACTGGGTCACCTGGGACCAGTTGACCAATGAACAGAATGGACGACCTACTCGGGAGGTCAATCTACCCTGGGTTGGGGATCTGGGTGCCATGACCCACAGCCATGTATAGGAGATTGTGCGGTACACTGTTTGCGGTGCTTCAAAGAATGGAACAACAAAAAATGGGAGGGAATAGAACGTGGGCAGGTATGTTTCAGAGAATTGTATGCTTTTTGGTGTCCTTTCCTAAGGGACCTTAGGAGGGATCAACCTGTAAGACAGACCTTTTTGGAGAGATTTCGCGCAAATGTTTGGCTGGGCATCGAAAAGTAAGCTTCCAAAAACTTACTCCCCGCCTACAAGTCATGGAAGTTTTTCAATTACATAGTCCCCTGGAAAGACCATAATCTAGAGACAGGGCCTGTACTTGGGGTTTTCGGAACAGCTTTAATTTGAAGAAAAGTCGATAGGCATCCAGTGACCATGCGAGTCGCGGCTGCAGTTGTCTTCTTACTTTGCTGAGTGTAAAGCCGGAGCGTCTTATAAATATTTTTTTTTGCTGGGAATGCTTGCCATCAATCCTGGATTGGCAAGCAGCCTGGCATGTTGCAAAGATGCACCTCAGCATTCTGATCTCCAACACGGACATCGACCAGAATTCAAGAATGCTTATCCAGCGGAATGCTTTTCAGACCACTTACACACACACCAAAGAAAGTAACGAGATTGAATGACACCACCAAACGCCGCTTGTTCCCTGTTGAGTTTGCCATTCTGTTGCCACTCTTATTTGTGCCTTCTTTGGCTGAAGCGTAAGCAGGATGTTGGTCCCGTCATGACCTGGTTTTGCTTAAGATGAGTTTTTGTTTTCCCATGTTTTCCCATATCTTCCCTTTGGGTAAATCCTTTTCTGGATAATGTTTATGAATGTGTGTCCTTTTCCTCCAGGTTCCGTCAGCAGATCCAAGATGAGGGTCCCTTCTACGTCGTGATCCTACTGCTCGTCCCCAGGCCTTCATCTCGCACACTCATCACCCCAGAGATCCACAGTTACCAGAAGTCACAAAGGGGTGGTGTTTAGTTTAGTCCCTAAGTGAGTGGATAATGGGCATCCCTAACCTCCATTAAGCACCCCTTTGTGACTGCTGGTAGACAACTATAGCTTGAAGGTTCCAACTGCTCTTTGAGAATGTATGAGAATGTAATTGGATTTTAGAGGAAACAAGCTACTAGTAGCAAGGACGAGTGCAAGGATGCCATTAGGTGGAGGCCATCGCAAGGTTGGAGGCCATCGCTACTTGTAACAAGAAGCTCCTAGTAGCTAGAAGCTACAAGGTGGAGGCCATCGCCATTATATAGTTTCTTTTGATTCTCGATCTCAACCTCGAGACCTTGGTTCGACGTATTTCGCTGGACATCGTCGTTGGGCCCGTTCGTTGGACTGGCTGGCGAAAATGACCCAGACCCGGTCTCCCGCCCTTCGGCATTTTTTGCTCCAAAAAGCGGGGCAGCTATATAGGCTTTTGATGGAGCACCACCTGCCACACTGTCACTGGTGCACCAGAAGTTACCCACCCCCCTTTGGGCAGACGGCGGCAAGGATCGCTCCGCGAAGAAGGATCGCGTAACGCGCCGGTGGGGAGGGGCTTCGGACGTCTCTAGGGAGCTTCCCAAGCCAGGCCTTTTTGGAAAACACCTTCCTGAAAGGCATCTAAATAGATCAAACAAAAACAGGATCAGCAAAAATCAACGTCAACAAACAAATCCTGACCAGGTCCCCTGCGTAGTCCATGAGTTTCCTGGTCCTTTGGTCCCCTGGTCCTCGTTCCGCAGTTCCGCTCGCGTCGCGGTCCTTTGGTCGAAGAGCGCGAGAGTGGCGACATTCCCAGACGCTCCTGGACCATCCTGGAGCCTCAATACGGAGGGATCGGACCCGAAGGGCTGTTTGGAGGGGTCAAGGGTTCATCATATTTTACCGATGATTTTGCGTATACCCGGTTGACTTGGTCCTTGAGTCCTTTCTAGGTGCCCTCCACACTTTGTCGCCCTGCTGCTGTTGTCCCTTCCCCAGTCTCCTTTTCCTTACACAACTGGTGGTTCGACTGGGAGTTGAGACTCTTGACCATTCATGCAAAAACCATTGGAGCATGCATGACCGATCCAACTACCCCTGACGTAGACACATATCGTCCGTATCGTGGTCAAAACTGGTCTTCCTTTTCTGTTCACCTTGTTTTTGGTACTTTGTGTGTGTGTGCGGTTTTGGGAAAACTGAAACTCTTTGCCGTTTGTTTTCCCGTGGTGAAGACATGGAAATACTCTGCCGACAGTTTCCAGCAACATCCTTCGTTGCCTCGTGTGTCGCCGCCGTTTCGGCCACTCGCTGGTTTCAAGCGTCCGCCCTGTAAATGAGGCATTGTGCAGCTCCATTACTACTTCGAAGACCAGCACAATGTCCTACTCCTCTTGGAATACGCCAATGGCGGTTCCTTGTTTTCCTTACTCAGGCCACGTTCTCATGGGCTGGGAGGGGAAATGCATAATTGAACTTGATGTAATTGTACAGAAAAAACATATTCGAGCATTGATGTGGTGAAACAAACTGTGTGGTTTGTTGAGATGTGCGTGAAGCGAACGGAAAGACTCAGAAGCCCCATGGTCAATATGGATGCTACCTACTGTATTTTGATTTGATGCTTCTGGATGGGAATCCTGGTTCCAGAGGGCAAGCTGTTATTTTCTGGGTGACAAGCTGTGAGGGTGCTTAAAGTCAACGAACTTGGGCATTGTTAGAGGTAATGATGGTCGTTGCAGTATTCGGACGGCCCAGTGCAAAGGACGGCCCTCCTCGGCGCACCTCGATGCAGAAACCAGTGATCCAGAGAAATCCCACAGGATCTCTTTTTGTTTCTTAGTGCCATAAAGGCCGGGAGACTGGGGTCTTGAGTCATATGGAACCCAGACGCTTCATGGGGACTGCCATAGATGCCGATCATATGACCCCCCTGGCACCACCCCAATATAGGCAAATATAGCATACATGGAGCGTTTGGGATTGATGCGGAACGTTCTTTTTTACGGATGCGTTGTCAGCCTTTGGTCACAGCAACCTCCATGTGGTCACGGCAGGAGTTCAGGACAACTTGCTGAAGCGGACGCTGCAAGGCTGGAGTATTCAATGTTGCCACTACCATTTTCACATGTTGCCACTACCCTTTTGGCATCAGTTTGAGCGTGGGAACAGGATGTCTCAGAGGTCAAGAGGTATGCCAGGGAGATCATCAAGGTTTGAACATGATGGTCATGTGATGTCCGCGCGGACGTGTCAAGAAGTTGCCTGGAAAGGACCGATGGTCGGTGCCACTGACGCACCAGGTCACCTGCTCTGAACACTGACCCGAACCAGTCCGCCCCGATTCGGCGACCCGTGAGGTATTTCGTGGATGTGGCACTGGCCCTTTGCCACTTGCATAGCCACACCATTGCCGGTGGTGCCCAGCGGGACAAGGGTGGTTCGTGGTTCTTTCAGTCCATATAGGTGCGGTAAGATGCTCTCCTTGAGTGGATGCTAGACTGTACCTCACACTTTTGAATGTTATGTCCTTGAGGACCTGTCCTACTGGGCAATCAAAGGATTTGTGCAGCAGAGGAAGGCCAGATGCTCCCCCCGACGTGTCCCAGACTTGACTGTGCTGCAGTTCCAGAAGGCCAAATCATGCTAAAATCCTCGGTGACTGCAACACGTTGGCCTTCCAAGACTAGCAGCAAGGCGAATGCTTCCTAGTCTTTCGGCGGGCGAAGCAGCTCCCAGACACTCCTGGTGTGACACTGGTGTGGCATAATTTACAGTGGTTTCAAAGTAGATGGATAAATTCCCAAGTTTGGTGGTTTAGATGGACCCCTCCCATCTAAAAGACCTCGACTGGGGTGCCAGTGCCATCTGAAAACATATGCAATTGAGATGGTTTTTGGCTTGAGCGGTCCCAACGTTCCCAACTCTTCCAGTTTCGTTTGAAGCGCTCGTGTTTTGCCCCGGTGTTCCTCTGTTGAAGAGTCCCTCCGACCTACCTCCGACCTCGCTTCCCGGGTGCATCCCGTGGCCACCGGGAAGACCTGAAACTGGGCGAAAGGCCCCCGTGATGCCCTGGGATTCTCTGCCCCCCGTGATGCCGGCAGCGGCTGTTCCTAGAAGTAGGTGGTTTTCACAGTCCCCGGACAGCAACGCCTAGAGTGGTTTCAGAGTAGGAACAAGGGACCCCAAGTTTGGTGCTTTAGATGGACCCCCATATCAAATACGCCTATCCAGATGTACCACGAGTTCGTGTTGGAGTCCCAGGTCATCCCAGGTCTGATCTCAAAGAAAAGCCTCTCCAGATCGATGCACCGAGGTGCACCGTGATCTGAAGCCGGAGAACATCTTGATGTGCGGCACATCGCCCATGAAGGCGCGACCCCGTCCGACGCCGGCTCGGCGCCGGCGCCGGGGCGCCGATCGGTGGGTGAAGGATTCGTTCCACAAGCGGCACGGACCCCCAGGTGTTCCAACCCTAAAGCACCGAACTTGAGAGTCCCGACCTTGGGCGTCCATTAGAGAAATGGGTCCATAAACATACAATATATACCGAACTTGGGGTCCCTTGTTCCATCTACTCGAGAAACCACTGTGAATGGATGCCTTGCAGCCAGATGCAGGGGGACTACGGGAGCCATATGCCTTGGATAGGGAGTGCCTTATCGAGAAATATACCCAAACTTGCACAGGTGGAAGAAGCCAGACACTTGAATCTTGCTTTGGTGCAACCTGGGGAGCACACACCAAACACCTTTGATGGCTTGGAGGGCATCAGGTTGGGCAAGACAAGACCACCGGTCAGTGGTTTCATCCTATTGGAGTGGGGTATTGTGCTTTAGATTCTTGCCCCACACGGTAGCATAACTTAGGCCCTTAGGCAAGGCGTTTGTCCTCACAGGCACAGTTTCCTTTTGTTGTACCAACTTGTGCAGTCAGGTTATGAGGGATTAGCTTCTTTTGTTGCACCTATATAGTCAGATCTTCCCAGCATTAGTCACCTGGGCTGGGCTCGAGCCAAAAATCTTCTGAACCCAAAAGAGCATCCAGAGTTCCTGATGACATGGAACAGGTGGCCAAAAGAAGAAACACACCAAAAGAACGACGTGGTGTAACTGTATAAGCTGTAGGGTGTCTTTCTTTAGTAAGTTGATTGTTTTGTATAATCCAAGGAATTTGAGACAAGAAGACTTGAAGACATCCTCCAAATTGTTGGAAGAGCAGCTCAATGGAAGGCCACCGGTCGCCGTTGCGGCTTTCGGTGACGGGAGGCCAAGTTGGCGGACTTCGGATGGTGTGCAGAGCTCCAAAAGGACGCGCGGACGACCTTCTGTGGCTGGGCCAAAACGAAGAGCCTGGCGGGAGAGCACAGGGCTTTTCAGGATCTAGGGCTGACAGCAGAGATGTTTTGGAAGACCTGCCTGGCCGGGTGCCACATGTTTATTGTAGTCCCTTAGATCTTAGATGATATTTGATCTAGAGAATGACAATGAAGAGGTTTTACCAATCCACACGTGGGAGGTTCGTTCCCGGGACTTGAGGCTGGTTCCAGGCACTTGAGCTTGGTGAGTTCCCCACGATGGGGACACCGTGGGACTCACGGGAACTTCAGTTCGATGGTTGGTTGGACAGAACTTGGGAGTATGGCTGGTGTGATCTTCGGATCTGGGGACTCAGATGTAGGGGCTGCATGAAAGACATGTGAGCTAGCTAGGTGGCATTGCTGGCAGAGTTCAATGTCAAAGATTCGGCTGGAACAAGAGTCTTTCTTTGGCCAACTAAGACTTAATCAAGAGTCCCGCTTTCTCACACCATTCCAAAGCTAGCCACTTCGCGACGTCTGCTGTGGCCGGTCGAAGTCGCCCGGCGTCGGCCCCGACCGGCGTTTGGAACGAGCGTGCGGCGACCGGAACGGAAGTCGCCAAACGTAAGTTGGCCCCGGCTGAGTTTTGGGAAGCAACCCTATCAATCGATCAATTCAGGCACACCACGATCTCGTAGGCAACCGTTCCGAAGACTAAAATCCACAGACCGAACTAGAAGTCCTGGTTTTTTGTATGATAATTGGGATCCTTTGTATAGCACCAGCTCAGATGCGTCCACCCAGCAACTCAATCTTCCACCCAGCAACTGCTGTGTTCCAGCCATGTCCCATGGCCCTCCAAGGCGGTACCTGGGACTACCTCTCGCCGGAGATGGTTCCGGGCGCCCGGCGGTTGGCGTACAGAACGTGTTGCGCGAGTCTAGGTGGTTAATAGCGCACAGGCCGCATAGGTGGTTCACGGGCGACATGTTGGGCCGCAGATTAGTACTGGTAGTGTGCTTCACTGTTTGTCACACAGGTTCATGTTTTCAGCATGCAGCATACAAAGATCTTCCACGATGCATTCAAGATGACCCTGAATGATCCCAACTTCATGTCGACGGAGCACCTCTTTTTGCTCTTTTGGGACATCCATGGCTTCATTCCCAAAAGCAGTCATGAACACTTTGGAGCCCTTGGGGATGGATAAACCACCGAAACTTGGAGCTTCTGATGAAGTGATGGGTTTTTGGGGTGTGAACTGACCTTTTCTATCCTTTTCTGGGCTTCTGAAAAGGCTGTCCTTCAGTCTGGCACACAGATGTCCACTTCCGTGTTGCGGAAGCGGCCGGACCAAATACACCAACGAGGGTAAACCACCAAGCAATTGTCCCTGATGTGCGTCCCACTGTACTTGTATGCCCATGTATAGCAAGCATTTATGCTTGTTCTTGCGGAGTGATTCGGCCAGATCCCAACCGTTGAGCACTGTGTTCACCGTTCCCGATGTTGGTAGGTCCTGGGTCTCAGTAGCCCTCGCCTCCACGTTGCCCTGTTCGAGCTAGGTTGAGAACCAGCCGCACGACAGTGGCGTCGATATTTGGGCGATAGGCCGGCGACTTTGGCAGGGGGGTTGGAGTTGAATGCGGCGGCTCCAAGTGGGCTGTTTTTTGTGCTTTCACATGAAATGACACTTCTCTACGCAGCACTTCAGCAGAAACTACCGTAGTAGGTCATATGCTGTTGCCAAGCGCTGCATGCCCTACCAAAAAAGTGATTTATATATTGAGCTGTGAACCGTGGGCCAGCACCCAGTACCATCCCTTTTGAACCCCAGCCAGGATGACAGTGGAAGAACCTAATGTAGACTTTGTCTATAATAGTAACCCCCCCACAGGAGGTGGAATGTAGAACCGTTTCAGGCCTGCGGCCTGGTGCATATTACATGAAGAGTCTACATAGGGTCTGTCCGAACTGACCCGTAACAGTAAGTAAACAAGCAAATCATCATGTTTGAACTGTCGGCCTGGTACCTAACCATCATCCACTGAGGCCCAGTAGACTCGGATAGACCCAAAGTCGACAATTAGAAGAATAGAAATGCCGGCACTTGGTACCTAAGGAGTCGAACTCGGATTGCCCATCATCCCCCCTACTACTCGCTCGTGTTGAGTAGTATACAGGTGAATTCATGCACCTACCTACGCACCATGACATGAGATCACTATTCAGAGTGTACAGTAAGTTGTACAGTAGTGCATCCTTCAGAAACCTCTTAAGATGTTCATGTTCCAGGACCCTCCTGTCGGGGTGTCTATTTATAGCCCCTTAGCTGTTAAGGGGTGCGACTGGGCCCTCCGGATCCGCAATCAAGGCATCTTGCTGTTCGAGATGCTCACCGGACGAGCCCCGTTTGCCGCCAGCAGCCCGGGACGCAGGAAACCACGGGACCCGGTGGACGGCTGGGCTGACAAAAGCGAGCAAGAGTCCCATGGTCTTAAACCGGTGCAGCATCGAGCCTGCATCTTTCTCTTCGAACGGGCGTGTAGTGTGTCGTTGGATCGCCGGAATTGCTGTAAATCCAAACGCGCGCGCGCGCGCACATGGATATACATATGACACTTATCATGCACACCGTGCCCGCGAAACACGGCTCAGAGGCCTAAAAGTGAATGGGGTGACGTGTGTGGTGCTCACCAGATCGCAGACCTCCAAGGAACGCACACAGATCGACACACAGCTCGATGCGTCAAACACGCCGCCCAACGTCAAAAGATCAAGGGACAAGGACAAGTGTTCCTGGCGGACCCAATTTCAAGCACTGCATTTGCCATGAAATCCACGAGCCGCACCTTGAGGCGTTGCGAGCCTCGCACCCAGGGGAAATCCCCTGTCACTAAGATGCGGCACCGCCGCATCTTCGGCTCCTGCTGCCTGGAACGCCGGTGCAAAGCTACAAGGATGATTTGAGGACACCCTTGTGCCTCTGTGGAGCACCGCCAGGGATGGCATTGGAGGTTGCATCCCAGCAGTTCATCCTGCAGCACCACAACCACCACCGCCACCATCACAAATGCGTCCTTCTACACCTCTAGACCTTAGACCTCTTAAGATCGATATTCAATCTAGAGGTCACACATCCCTACGATTCCCCGTCGTCAGGGTCATCCGAGGGCGTGTGAAAAGCCAAATCACCTCCTATAGCCTGCTCTACCCTTTCTACAAGATGATCCCGTAACTTACGATAAGGAGGTTTGTTTTTGAACACATGGGGTCGTTAGAATGCCAATGCCTTTTTCGTGTATCAAGAAACACCTTCTTACAGAGGGTGAGTCGTCCAAGCGCAGAATTATTCCCCGCGGCGATGGTAAACAAGGTGCAAACAAGGTGCTTGGCATTGCTCATGAAATATATGTGGGGAGCCGCTTGTCGGGATCAAGACCCAAATTCCTTTTCCGGCTGGGTGGTTGCTGGCTCTTTTATGCCACATTGTGACACTGGCTTTTTAATTGGGATGCAAAATTTCTCAATGTGGTGGCTTCTCAGGAAAGTCCCGGAAAGTATCAATGGCTGGGACAAGCGTCTCAATCCTTTGGACCCCACAAACATGTTCGTGTTTGGCCACTAGCTAGCCAAACGGCCATTGAGGTCAAGTAAAAGTGGTGAACAGGATCATCAACGTGGACTTGCAGGCCTGCACCGTTGCGTGGTGGATTGCTGGACAGACACGACAACCGGGGTCCAGAGACTCTTATACTCTTGAGAAATCCTGTTCGGTGAGGCTGTTGCAACGTGCTGCTGTTGGAAGGAAGGCCGCGACGTGTCCCGGAATACAAGCACTGAACCTAGCAAAGTGGTTACAAATGCTTACGGTATCTTACGGTCCTTGTTACCTTGATGATATCCGTCATGTTTTACGAAAATCTGAAAGGTCGCACCGTTTTGCGCTTTGGCCAGGCTCGAATTGGTTGATACATTATTCTGTGTCATGCGACCAGCCTGAATTGTGCCAAACATGTTCAACACCCCATCAATGATCAAATAATCCCGTCCCCCTAATAATAAACACGGCCCCCCCCCCTATTAAAAAAACCTCGGTCGCATTTTTTCTAATAGGGGGTCCCTGAAATCGGGGGGGGGGCCAAAATAGGGTCACCTGGAAAGAGTTTCAAAACCAAAAAGTAATCCAGGAAAATTTTATATAAAATCCTTTATTAAACTCATATCAAAAATGCAAAAAACCGCCAGATCGAAGGGTCTTCCTTTTCCCCTACAAAAACCTTCATTAGAATAGTGATTCTTCAGTAGACTAACAGCTAAAGCTTTCGAAAGGTGATGTCGCTGTGCCATGCGGTGTTGCATGACCTCGGTGGCAAGTGCGTTTGCGTGAGTCCGTGCCATTGAGGGAAGGAAAGCCTGCTGGTGTAAGCGCGGCGTGTCATGGTGGAGTTTTGGGGAACCTAATAAAAGAAACAACCCCCAAAATCGACCATGTTGGTAGTTTAGTAGCGGTTTGAAAGGGCGGCAATTTAAAACCAAATATAAACCGAATTTAGGGGTTCGGACGTGGGGTTTTTTTAATTGGGGAGTGTTTATTAATAGGTACTCGGGATTAACTTGGCTCAAGTCCCAACTTAGGAACAAGAAAGAAAAAAATAGTATAAAACAAAAACACTATATATACCTGGATCACACCTTCAAAAGCCACTCCTCGTGCGTTGCCAAGCCTGGCCAGGTGCCGTCGTCGGTACCGCCCTTGGCGGCGGACCTCATGCAGAAACTCATCAAGCGCCTTCCCCATGAGCCGCTTGGAGTGAGGGGCACAGCCCGTCCACTGAGTTCGAAGTTGGAGAGGTTTGATGGTGTGATGAGCCCCAAGCAACGAGATATTTTTGTTTGGGTTAGGGAATCGTCTTAGAAATCAGAACTGTATTTTTGGTGCTTTTTTCCCGAATGCATTGCGAAGGGTTCTCGTTTAACTTTGGGAATCTGAGGTTATACACCGTTGTTGACGTGACGTTGCTATTGTTTTAACCGGCCGCAAGGCATTTGCAACCGTCCGCATTTTTGAATGTGATCAGAAAGCCCTGCTGTTGGGGGAAGCTTTTGGAGGAGGTTTTGGATGGAAGTCGTGTCGGATTCAATGTGACATAGTCTAAAAACGTAACATGTTGAAATGCGACCATTTTCCGGCGAAGTCAGCAGAACTCGCTTCGCTGTGCCATTGGGATTGGCGAACTCGCAGTCGTTTGGGCGTGTTGAGTGTCGCTGTGCCAGTGGGATTCGCTCTTCAGGCCTGTTGTGCTGTGTTATGCTGTGTTTTCGTGACAAGCTTAAGCTAAATTTGCGGCTTTGGTGGCTGTGAGTGTGCTCCGAAAGTGTTGAAATCAAATCAAACATGTGGTGTGGTGCAAATTTTCCTGAAGACATGAAGATGTGATGCAGTACAACTTTTTTCCGCACAGGTGCAGCACTTTGTGCATGATGGATATTGAAGTTTCGTGGCGGTTTGTGAGGCTGTGACGTTTGGATACGTTTGGTGGAAGTGAGTGTCGTTTTGCCATTGTGTTTGGTGTGCTTCCGAGTTTGCGGGACTGCGATTCTCCTTGGCAGAAACTCCCATTGCACTTAATGCTCATTTTGAATGGAGGCATGACGCGTGACTTTTGGAGGAAGTCTCGTGCGAAGTGCTCGTTTGGGTTTCGGGGTGCAAATGTAGCGCGAATGTGGTGCGGGGGTTTGGGCGATCTGGGCTCAGAGGCGGTGCGCGGTGCGGCGAGGTTACGTCCGTGATGTCCCTGTGCCATGCGCGTTTTCGGTGCAATGTGGTGGCAACAGAATGTTCGTGAAGAGTATCCCCTACGATTGTCGCGTCCCTCACAAGAGTTTCCCACAAGAGTGTCCCGTCTCCCACAAGAGTCTCCTACAACAGTGTCCTGCAAGAGTGTCCCACAAGAGTGTTCAATGAGAGTGTCCCAAAACGTATCCAAGGAGAGTTTCCCCATGGTCCCACAAGACTGTGCCGCAAGAGTGTGCTACGTCCCACAAGAGTGTGTTGTTTTCCAGTTGTAGATGTAAGTAGGGTGTGTCCCAGTAAACCAGTAGCAGGCAGGTAAAAAGGTCCCTAACCTGACCATGCTCATCTACACAGGACCCAGGATGTAGGTGCATGCGAGTTGGGGACTCTAAACGCACCACGGATGAGTGAGCGTAGACACAACCCGCCAATGGCTCACGTGGTGCTACAGTGGGGTCGAGTGGACCAGGTGGACGAATTGTGTCGAACCGGTTTTCTCTTGCACCACTTGCAGATGAATTTGAAACGGGGACAAACCTCGACATGTTTTCATCATGTTTTTGATGGGATGCCCAAATGTGGTGTTACCCATTGTTACCCATGTGTAAAGTGACTGGGTGGTTCCTGTTGGCCTTTCGTGGTGTTGCCTTTTTTGCTTCTGGAATGCAAAAATGTCATTTCATAGATGCAAATTACATGTCGTGACATCTCATGACTTACTGCATCATTGCATCATTGTCAACAATCGTTTTCAGGCTGATCATGGACCATGATATTCTATGAATTTATTGTTCATGGTTACAATTGTTGTTTTGGTTTCGTGATGGTTCCTTTTGCCTGTCGTTTTTGGCTGCTTAGACCACCCCTTTCACAACCCTCGATCCGCCTCCTTCCGCTCGCTTCGTCACGGTCGATGCCCGTTCCGAAGGCGCCTGGGGTTGAAGGCGCCGAGCACCGAGGGGGGGGCGCCGGGCACGCAGGGGACATGGCCAACATGGCGGGGATTCAGGTTAGGCCGTTCGGTTGAGGGGCATGCTTGCTTCAAGACATTGAGCAGCTGTGGATTAGCAGTCAGCTCGTTGATCGAATTTGAAGTTCTGGCTGGGTGGCCAAGTCGCGAGACCTCTCTTTGGAGCACGTACCGTACCATCCAGTAAACATCCGCAATTGGTACGGCGCCCCTTGCCCATCCAAATTATGCCAGAGCCATCCACGCCAGCTGCGCGAGGACGCCTTGAAGAGCCCTTGGGTCTTGCTGCATGCTCCGACCAGCTCATTTGATCTGACTCAGGCGGCTTGAGTGCCCATCACGACTGTTTTTCCTCACAGTGAATGGATGACCGAGACGGATGGACAATGGACGGCTTTGGAATCATTGCGAACATCTAAATTTACATGGTTCTACGTGGCTGCAGTTGTTGCAGTGGACATGTTTTTTGTACCTTGGGTCCTGGGTGGTGGAAATGGAGATGCGAACATACTGGTTCGAGGGAATCACTTTAAATGGTAAGTAGGTGCTCAATGTTCAATGCCAAACTCTCAGACCAAATGACAATGTGGTTTGAACAGGTTGACTCACAAAAATTGAAGCAATCTCAGACCCCAGTTTGTTGGTTCTTTCTCCGTTTTAATATAGTTAGTTTCTTGTGGAACAATCGCTTGAATGGATGTTTCCCCATGTCCCGGCCCTATAGAGATCCAAGTAGCTCCGACTCAAAGGTGTTTGGACCGATCCAACTGGCGCCTTGTCGACCGGGTCGACTCTCGACCATGACATCCCCTTCTTCTAGAGGATGTTTGATTTGTTTTGATCAATCTTGGAGGAGGAGCTTCTAGGACCCCACAAGCAGTGGAGGGAAGCATGAATCCTAGACGATCCACAGGGCGGAGCATGTCACGTCTTGGCCTCCGGAGCCACCGACCTCGCAGACCTACGAGGGCCTCAAGGGGCTGGAAGCGGAGAAGAGGCACGGGAGGGCAAGCTGATCAGGTTTAAGAGTGGATGAACATGGCTGAAAATGGCTGAAATCTACCCAGACACATTCAGACACTTCCATGGGGGTGGTTGACAACTGTTGAAAAAGGGTTTCAATTTACATGAATATTGCCATACATTGCCATACATACATTGGAGTGTTCGGGTTATGGTCGCACTGAGCGGCAGCAACATTGAATTATGTTAGAAGCAACCACGTCTTTGTCCCGATGCACCGTTGAGAGTGTGCATTTTCTGATTGTAATGTAAGGAGTGACCAGGTGCAGGGACACTTCTACAACTAAATGGCATACCAACACATAAGTCATGGGCATTCATTCTGAATTCATCCAGGGGGTTCCATGGTTCATCCCGGTTTTCCACGATCCATGTGCCTTCAACATGTCCTTGCAAGGACAGGTCTCGGCAGGTCAACCCCACCAACCTTTGGGCCGCCGACCAGGCGCCGTTTCGCGGATGGGACCAGAATCCTTCGGTTTTCCCCTCCTAATCCGCCACTTTGAGCAGTCGCCGTGGAGAACCTGGCTTCGGGGTATGTCTCCATGTCGACTTGGAGCCAGGATGCCTGAGCGTGGAGCCAAGGCGCAGGGGAGCGCAGTTGAGGGATATCTTTGACAAGGTTGCTATATGTATGTATATATGATTTTTTTTGTCGTTTTAGTAATCTTAGACGCTTTCCATTGAAAGCCAACGATATTCCAAAAACTATATCAAAACCTAAGACTACTAAGAATTCCTAGACGAATGAATCTTCAGGTATATATAAAGTGTGCGGCTTTGAGGTGCACGCGTTGCGCATACACGAGTCACATCACATCGTTCTTTGGACTCCCCCAACTACGAGGTTCTGTTTTCGACCCAGTCCCAGTCCTGTGACCCAGACCCAGTCTGCAAGGCTCCCGTCGGGAACTTGAAGTGCACAGTTCGTTGCAATCTTGACATGTTTTCGAAGTGTTTGCAGCCTCGCATAGCCTTGCATAGCCTGGGCTTATTGAGACATATTGAGACATTCACTTTTAGTGTATGAGCTCGCGTTTGGAGCAGCTGGCCTTTGCCTGAAAACAATGTGTTTTGGGTTGCTTTCACCCCAAATTAAGAATGCAACTCTTTCAATTGAGAGCAACGGCAGTTTATCACAATGGAATCAATCAATCCAAAATGTCCCCCAGCGGCATCTTGTTGCTTTTGAATTCAGCATCCATTAAACAGATATCAAGGAACATGTGAAAGTCCACAACTGTGGTTCAATCGCCGTTGGATGTGGGAGTTGGAGGAGGTCATCAAGCGAGGCTTTGGGTGAACCTGTGGTGTAAATACCAACTGATTTCAGTCATGGAGGAATGGACTTGGTATTGCATCGTCTCTATGGGGTAGTGCATCGTCTCCATGGGGCGTCCATACAGACGCCATGCTTTGAAATGGAGCTTCCTGTCCTTCCGCCTCCTCCGTGCCCGGGAAGGGGATCGAAGGGGTCTCTTCATCATGGGCTTCTTGTACATGGCCTCTGCTGTTCCATAGGTTCGCTTCGACTTATGGCTGCGTGAGCATAAACGAATCTCATTGGCTTCGACTCAGCTTCTTCGCATTCGACGTTCTGAGACTTCCCAAGCCCCGATGACATGCCGGCCGTGGTTTGTCCATCCGGCCTCAGGAGCTACAGGTGGACTCACCCAGGCCCTACCGTTGGGGGGAACGCCGGAGTTCGGTGACGAAAACAGAGCCGTTTTCCACGGCCATGTTAGTTCCAGGCAGTGTAGTGCTGGTGTTTGTTTCCCGCCTGGGACATCCAAGCGAACTCTGGCGGAATGGGTTTTGATCCACAGCCCCAGCTTTGCATGTTCCGTAACGTCCAGTAGCTTCCTTCTGCTACTGCTACAAGGAACCACGGATTGCTCAACAGCGCAACACAAACAAACAAACACAACGAATACACACCGGGACAGATCACAGGTTGAACCCAAAGGGAACCATGCAGGCAGCTTGGTTAAATTGGGAGCTGTGGCATAATTTGGGATGGTCTGCCAAAAGGAAGACTCATAAAAACTCTCGTCCTGTATATACAGGCCAGCAGGTTTTTCTGTCACATACGTGTATATATATATATATATGTTTATGCCCGTCACCACCCAAGCGCACCATGGTTTGCATCCCATTTGCGGTAGTTGAATCGAGTATGTGTGTGTGTGTGCCATGCTTCAAGAATCTAGAGTTGCATGTTTGAACCAGGTATTTGAGGATGTTTTTGTTGTCATGATACTTATACAATCTTATATACCTTTTGTTCACGAATCTCCACCCCCAACCCGTGCATCCGACGGTCCACAGTCCGGCCATGACCCTCCGCCAGGCGCAGAACCGAGGCATCCGGCAAGACCGAGGCGTTGAGACCATCGTGAGCGCCAGTGACTCACCAGTGGTAGGTCCTGTGCAAACCGACTGACACACGTGTGACGTTCGGTTTGCAGACTGACCGACCGAATGAAGAGCACAAAGACGACGATAGAAGAACTGGATGCTGAGGGCTCCTCGCAATTGAATGCAGTTGAAATAACATATGTAACTGTCTCATCTCATCGTATCTCATCATATATAGATTAGATTACTTGAGGTCCTCCGCGTTTGACAAATCATTTCTGTATTCCCTTCTTCGGTTTGCCTACCTCGATTTGCACAAGCGCAGGTCTCCCCAGCTTCGACGGTGATGGTGCCGGCCGTGCAGGCTGTGACAGACGGAGGCAGGGTAGTCTTTGCAGCTTTGTAGCCATCGTTTCATGGTAGTGTAGACTCTTGATTGATACAACCAAGAGGTACAAGTACGTAGCGACGTAGAGGTACATTAATTTTGCTTGTTTCACGGGTGTTCTGCGTGAAAGACAGATGAACACTTTGCAGAGGCCCCACACAACACATATCACAGCTTTGACCCTCCAAGAGCCCTTTCGGTTGTTCAAAACCTAGAATCCGCCTTTGGGCCATCAGGTTTCACTCGGTTTGACCATCCAGAGGCCCTTCTTTTCACTACGCACGCGCCGTCGGTGTTCGTCTAACGGCCGGCAGGACGTTCGGAGGGTGCGGGACGCTGGGCTGTGAGAATGGCTGGTGGCCGCGTCACCGTCACTCGTGAAGGTCCCGCATCGCGTCTCAACGCGACCTCTCCACCAACCTCCCGTCCAGGCACTGCATGCGAAGACTGAATCATGTTCATGTGTTCTCGTGTTGGCAGAATGCATGAACTCACCCCTGGGGTACTTGCAGGGATCGAGAGTGATCGAGGATTTGGGGGAAGAGGCTAGGACATCAAACAGAAGTAAGCTGACAATTGCGTAGTTGTGGGAGTGTGTGTTTGTTTAAGTGTTACTTTCCGGGCGATAGTTGGGGCAGAACATCTTGGGTTTGGAAGACAATTTTCCTTTACTGTATGTAGTAGGTGGGTCTTCGATTTTTGGATTTGCATGCTGCATGGTGCTTTTAATTTTAATTCGTTATTCAACGGAAACTCTGGGTTTCGATGCGCTTTGCTGGAGCTCGGGATTTGAATACAAAGGCCAATGTACACCGAAACCCACTGGTACAGCGAAGCTTGTCATGCAGACCATCGGTAACCTTCCTGATGGACTATGAAACATGCTCGTGCAATGCATGCTGAGACCTTTGTATCCTATGCATCACCAGCCACATGGCTCAGCTGTATACACTGTCCATGCTGCCTTAACCTTGTGTTTCGAGTGCCATCCGAGCATGACACAAAGCCTTCATATCAGATAGAAGAGGGATCATGTTGCTTTCTGGGCGTGCAGGATCATGTGGAGTGTTCATGTCACATGTCACTGCGCCGCCTAGGCAGCCAGAGTCAGGAGAGCGTCTCGCCTGCATCTACAGTGCAGGCGGGTGGAAATGAAACCAGTTCAGCTGGTCTGGGCACCCAGTTGCTTGGAGGCTAGTAAAGTGTAGTACAGATACATAATCATTAATCTTAACTGCTACTAGATTGGAGGCCATTGCTATTATAGAGGTTGGAGCAATTTTATTTGACAGTTTTAGACTAGATTCTCTTGTGCACCAGAAAACGGCCGATGTCCAAGCTATGCATGGCACTTGGCAATGGTAGAGAACGGCCAACCATTCAGTGGACTATACACCGCATCAATCTTCTACTAGTAGAAAACATCCTCTGAGTAACCAGCAAGTGGTGTCCACTAACCTGCTAAGATGTGAATGAATTGGCAAAGAACTGATTTGCCAGAGCTAAGAAGGGCAGGTGTTTCCTTCTCACCATGGCCGAACCAGCGTTTTTTCATGTTTGCTTCATACTGCTTCATTTGCTATGATCCATGAGCCTCCTTGCGACTGATCCCTGGAACGCGCGTGACTCGGAGCCCAACTTCGCACGCAGTGATGTACGGAGCAAAAGAATCCCCCAGCGTGCCCTGTCTCAAGCCTTCTCAAGGCCTTCATTGGGTTCGATTTTGCTCTTCAACCTCCTCGCAAAAATCCTATGGAATCCTGAATTTCTATCTTCATGACCCCCCAACAGGATGGGTCATCCTTGCGCAAACATGTCGGCCAAGCACGCCTTTTGCCAAGCACGGTACTTTTGGCGACTCTTTGTCGGACTCAATCTGTAGTGTTCGGAGCCAGTCCTGACTCCCGATAATTGAATACATGAGATGCCCTTCCTACAATCTTTGTTCTTTGTAGCAGTGGCTTGAGCATGTGCACTGAAGACGGACTAGACCCAACGGCATCCCTCAAAAGTAGGACATGCTAGCTAGACTTGAAGTCGCTTTTTTTGAGTCTCAAAATTGTCTCACTCACTGATTGTTTTCTGTGCAGGTGGCTGCGAGCCGCCCGAAGCCCTCAGTGATGCCCTGGCCGATGCCCTTGGAGTTCGGACGAGCGGGTTACGGGTGTGGGTCGCTGGTGGGACAGCGAGGTCCACGAAGAACCTCTTCGGGGGACAAGCAGATGCAAGAAAATGATCATGTAAAACTGGGAATGGTTCTGATGAAGAATGACGAAAGCAGCAAGCTTGACTTGTTGGGAGTTCTGTTGGAGTTGAGTTTAACGCACATTGTATTTATATATAAATATATGTAGAGAAGCACGATCTTTCTTGTAGAGGGCCATCCTCTTCCTTTCCATGAAGTCTGTCATATCATGTCACCCGCAGGCATATGGGATACCCTCTGGGGAATCCCATTGGCCCTCCATACGCTCAAACCAAGGTCAGAAGCTCAGACCCCAACGGAAGGAGAGCACCAGGACCTGGGGACCGGTGCAGACCGGGTGTTTTTCGAACCTTGGTGGGTACAAAAGCAACCCAACCCATCTATGCTTGGGGAAGACCTGTTGAAAGAGCAAGGCGTTCCTGATGTGGTTTATTCACCACACACTTCTTACGGAAGATCCGTCAAATCCAGCGGTCTCCGACTTTTGGGAAAGAGTACTGGTCATATATATATATACCTTGTGCCTCCAAACACGACAAAAACGTAGGGTTCATCCCAAAACACGAGGTTCTTGGAGGAAACACTAGGGTTCAGATGCTCAGGGTATATATATATATACATGACTTCAAGACTTCTTTATATTTTGAGTCAACCGGACCCTGCCTTCGTGTCCTTCCTGTGAAGAAGTTTGAGGGACCTATTGTGACCTACTGACAAAGTCTTGTGTAAGTTTGGAAGGCGAACCTGGCTTTCAAGCGTGTGATTGCCGCTTCTACACAGAAGCCATGCGGTCCAAATGTGTTCGGGAATTGGATGCTGTAGAATTCCAGACGATGGTCAAGAGCTATATATATATATACAGAATATATACAGAATATGTCCTACTTTGAATGGTCCTGAACGTTGTGAGAAGTGTTTGCTAACAACAATCCCTTTGACAAGTTGTCCTTCCGATCTTCCATTGTGAGGATGCTGGGAACGTAGCATCTGCAGCGATGCCTTCAGCGTCTCCGCAACGCAGGGGCGGTTACGGTTTTGGCCTCGAAGCCAAGGAGCAGGGTGGATTGTTGGTTTGCACAACAAGGCAGAGTAAAGGATTGTGATTTAGGAAAATGTTAAGCATTGTTCATCCCATTTGAATGTGACCCATATGGCTACAAGACAAAATTCAGATAGCACATGATAGAGAAGAGCGTCCATATGTAGCACGCCCACAGTGGACAGCTCAACTGTTGGTTCTTTCCAGAGAGAGGGAGAGAGTCGATAGACATCCAGTTTATTCATTTAAGCAGCTTTGAAGCCGGGTCGGCTCCATTATTTTCAATATGTTTCGATTATTTGATGCAATGCTGGCGATGTATCCAATTGGAATTGAATTTTTGTACATGTTTGATTGCTCTGAAAGTTGCGAGCTTGATATCCTTCCGATTTTTAAGTTCCTGCTACGTTTGGCCAGTTCGGCTTTGCACTATCTCACGCCCCCCTGGTGTCAAAGATGGCCATCTCCGAAAGACCAGCCAAGAGAAGCCTACCACAGAGGACCGGGAAGAAGGGACAGGTCACCAAGTGCACCTCTGGCAAGATGGAAAGTGCAAAACATGGCGATAACTTTGAACAAAATGCGATGCGACAGATGGAAGGCAGACCATGCCAGGCCCAGATGGTCAGCAATGGGGATCAAGGCGTGCTACCATGAAAAGCGCATGAGGCGGGAGAAGAACGAGAACCAAAGCAAGACTCAAGAAAGTGATGAAAGCAGTGGGTTATCTTGTAGAAACTCCTAGTCCTAGTGCAATGCCCCAAAGACCGGTCCTTGCAACGAAAAAGGATCAAGACCGGTCTTTTGGGCAGTCGCTTCAGCTGAGGAGGGGGGCCAAGGATCGCCGATACGGAGAGTTGGGAGTCCACATGAGTCCGGCGGTTCTACCGTTCAAGGACAAAGGCGACCAAGGTGACCTGCACCGACACTGTGTTAACTGTGGAAGACACGTTTAAAAAAGCACACCAGGCTATGTCCGTCAGAAACGGTCTTGGCTAACGCTACGCCTATCTCATAGTGCTCCGGAACTGGAACTGGAACTGGAACTGCACCCGCCCTCCCCAAAAAATAGAGTAGTTATTTCCGTTATCAGAGGAATTGGAATCGCAACTGGAACTGGAACTAGAACTGGATCTAGAACTGGATCTGGATCTCCCCCACCCCGTAGACAGTGAGCACCACTTTGGAATTGGATCTGGAACTGGAACTGGAACTGCGCCCCCCCCCGACCCCGTAGACAGTGAGCACCACTTTGATCTGGAACTGGAACAGGATCTAGAACTCGGGCCCTCACCTCTGAGACAGCTAGCACCTCTTTGGGACTAGATCTCGAAGTGGAACTGGAACTGGAACCCCCCCACCCTGTAGACAGTGAGCACTACTTTGGAACTGGATCTGGAACTGGAACTAGAACTGCTGCCCCACCCCTGAGACAGCTACCACCACTTTGGAATCGATCTGGACTTGGAACTGGAACTGTTCCAACCACCTGGCCCACACTCTGGCTTATCTTGTATCCGCCCCAGACAACTTACACAGAAGAAGTATAGCTTTTGTGGAATTGGATTGTGCCCCTTGTTTCACGGCTAATCGAGGGCAAGTTCGAAATTCAGATAGCACATGCTGTTGGACGGTGTTGGGATTCGTTTGCTGAAGGAGCGCTTCTACACGGTCTTTACGGTGTGTCCACAATTGGGAGAGATTGAGAGAACGGAGGGGAGAAAATAATAGGTCTTTTGAAAGCTCCAGAACGCTGCAGAAGCATCAGAAACCAACTCAATTCTAAGGATCATTGACAAGCAAAGGAAGCTTAGAGCTTTTCAGATGTTGGCGCCAGACGGGAGCATAGAGAAAAGCTCCTTCCGTCCCACTGTCGAGAAATCACCAGCTTTTTCTTCCAGGAGGAGAGTCGCGCCGGCAGCAAGGTCTGGGCGTCCGCATAGTGAGTGGTGATATGGGAATTTGATCGAGATTAGTGAACTAGTCACAGATTCACTCCCCCTACACCACCACCAATCCAGGACGATTCTTCCTCTACCAGCAGGGGAGTCCCCTTTCTTTGTTTTGGAGTGTTGGGGTGTAGGCATTTCTTTGATTAGGCTTTGTGACTGGTGTTGCTTTTGCATCGGAATTTGAGAGACCTACACTGGGACTCACTGACTTGTTTTGGTGCACTTGAGTAGGTTCCATGGGTTGTGTTCAGACTATTCTTTGAAGACCCACCAATGGATGGCTAGCGGGTTGGAGTGTAGATGCTCTAAATATCTCCAAATGCTTTGAGCTGTGATGATGGACCAGCTCCTGCGGAATGGGTACTCAAGGTGTAGTGAAGAAGTTGTATCAATTGGACAGGGAGGTCTCCTTGTTTCCCTCGATGTGGCAATGAGCTTGTGGAAAACTATCAGATTAAGTTAGATGGCTGTCTCCCACACAATGAGTCTTGCTTCGGGTCATTGTGACATCTAGTTATGAAGAAGGACACAAGCAGGGGGAGCTTCAATCCGACATAAACACCTTCATGCTAGCAAATGGGCTGTACGGGTGGTGTTCTCTCAATCTGTTCGTTTGAAGTGTCTCGTTCTTGGTGGCGCTATCTTGCATGTCGAAGCCCGTTATCGTCCTTTGAGCCTAGTATTGCATACACCAAGTGTAACGTTGCTTTTTCTTCTTGCATTATGAGAGAAAAGCCTCGCACCCTTGCAATCAAGCATGCGGTGGGAATGATACTAGCCGCCCCGGCTTGCCTGAGAAGAACATTGGCTCCACACTTCTTGAGCTTCGGCTCTGCTTGTGATGTTCAGCACATAGGATGCTACTATAGGATACTTAATCACACTCGCAGATGGAATGGATGTTGATGATTGATGTGGATCCAAACAAAGCATAAACATGTTGGAGGTCTATGAGCGATTGAACTCAGTCCTCTTTCGCCGGTCGACCAGCGAGGACTCCTCCTCTAGTCGACCAGCGGAGTCGCCCAAGACACTTGGCCTCGTTTTGGGCTAAACCCAATCCAAACAGGAGAAGAACGCAATGGATTCGTTTAGATTCGTTTGGATTCGCTTTTGCTCCTTTTTGGATTCGTTTTTGCTCCGTTTTTATTTGCCGTTTCTACCAATTTGGCTTGGCTGCAAGGTGGTTCCAGTCCAAACCGTAGACGGGCTCGTAGGGCTGTGATCGAGCAAGGTTGTCAAACAAGAAAGAAGTGTTCCTGGTGGCTTAACTTGTCCAAGCTCACTGGTCGATGCTGATAGGCCGGCGGTTATGACTAAAATCTACAACAGAGTTAGAAGGTAGGCCTTGGCAGTTGACATGCATAGCTTTTTTGTTCAAGCTGCACTTTTTCTCATCAGGTGCATCTCAGACCTGCCGCAAACCGATCATTCTGGACAGATCGGATCGACAATTCATGGAATCCTTAGCATGGACTCGCTCGCGCATGTGTTCAAGCGAACCTGCAAAAAAAGAAAACACGGTAGATCCGAGCAAGCAGCAATCAAAGGTATGATACTTCGAACGTTTTCCAACGAAAGCTGTTTTGGGGGCTGCTCATGACAGAAGCAAAAGGAGAATCCACCGGAGCCATGTGGCTCCAGTGGGTGCCACTCTTGAGCTCTCCCAGGTGGCATGAGACGGACACCTACGCCGCGATCCGCCAATGGATGCGGAAAGAGGGCGCCAAGGAGAATGTGCGTGTTCAAGAGATGTTGCGGGGAATAGATGCAGGTATCATTATCAGGTTGAACCCGTTGCCATAATGATTATTCCCAAAATCATCTCCGATGCTTGGGTTCTCGTTTAGTCGCTAGTGACGGGAGGTGCATGGGTGGGGACGGGGCTGGGGAGGGAAGATGGAGGGGAGCGAGACGGGAGGCGCATGGGTGGGGACGGGGCTGGGGAGGGAAGATGGAGGGGAGGCGGATGGGTGGGGACGGGGCTGGGGAGGGAAGATGGAGGGGAGTGAGACGGGAGGCGCGTGGGTGGGAACGGGGCTGGGGAGGGAAGATGGAGGGGAGCGAGACGGGAGGCGCGTGGGTGGGGACGAGACTCGGGAGGGAAGATGGAGGGGAGCGAGACGGGAGCTGGCGAGGGAAAATGGAGGGCAGCGGAGCCCGCAAGCATCACAAGCATCATTGCAGGCTGCTCTGGGGCAGTGCAAAAGTAGAACGAAGCATGGGTGGGGGTAGTGCTGGTCCATGCTTCGCGGAGGCACGTGGGGAGGTGAATGGAGCGGTGTTGCGGGGCTGAGGTATGGTCTTGGGTGTCAAAAAAGTGTGCAGAATGCACGCGGCAGACATGGTTGCGTTGAGCACATGGTCGCACCACAAGCATCAGTGCAGGCTGCTCTGGGGCAGTGCACAAGTAGAACGAAGCATGGGTGGGGGTAGTGCTGGTCCATGCTTCGCGGACGTGTGTTGGGTGGTGAGTGGAGCTGTGCTGCGGGGCTGATACGATGGGGTTGGGTGTCCAAAATGTGCACAGTACATGCGCCAGACAGTCAAGGCATGGCCGACACGGGAGGAGCGTTATGTGCCACAAGCGCAACGTGGGAAACTGTACGGTTGGAACGAACCTTGGAGGGGGCCGATACTGCTCCAGGCTTCCTGGAACGGTTGTCAGAAGCCATGTTGCAATGTTATTGGAGACTAGCTGCAGATTGAAAACAACCAGTTGATATACCGACGGACTGAAACATAGAATGCCTTTTTGGAAATCGGCAAAATGGGTGTCCGGGGGATATCCCTCCGAGGGGTAACGTGACCGAGGACGCGACCGAGCCAAGTGTGGCTCAAAGGGCTCAAGGGTGAGTCTTTCTGCGCTGCTCTCCCATGTATTTGGCATGTGGCATTTAGTCTTGGCGGTCAAGTTATATATATATATATATACATGTTTTATATGTATTTTGGCATATGCACAAGCATATATGTGCGTGTTCCTTATTTTTCCATACTGGGGAACATAGAATGCATTTGAACGCGGAAAGGAGATGGGCAGGCAAAGGGGAAATTACAGGCAAGCTAAACGAAAAGAGCGGAAGGAAACTGTAAAAAAACACATGCCAGAATGAGTTGAACACCATCAAACTTAGAATGCCACCACCCAAATCACAATATGGCTACGGCCCATTTTTGAACAGTGAAGGAATGGGGATGTTTCCTTGTGGCGAGCTGGCTTCCTTCACATTGTTGCTGTTGTGGGGTCTACACTGCACCGTTTCCCTCAATAAGGCTCCCGCACACCGTCTTCACATGTAATGTATATTTTCGGGTGGTTGGATTATACTGTAAGTGTTCTCCTAACCCATTCCCTTGGCAATCCTTCCTGTCCTTGCCTTTCTTTTCTGCCTCTCTTGCCTAGTTCCTTCCTGTGTTTTGTTTTCCCTTTTTTTGATTTGCCTTTGAATTTTATGCCTTTTTCGCGTGCCTTCCTGAGTATTCTACGGCTACCTCTTCCAAGGCACAGTCTACACGGCCATATTGTGATTGATGGTTTTGGGTGGTGGCATTCTAAGTTTGATGGTTTTCATTTCATGCTGGTGTGTGCTCTTTTCCGGCTTCCTTCCCCCCTGTTCTTTTAGCTTGCCTTATATTTTCCCTTTGCCTGCAAAATGTCCGCGGTCAGTTCCTTGCCTTTCTCCCTTTCTATTTGCTTTCTCTTCCTATTTGCTGTTTTTCCGCTTCCTTTCCTTATAGCAAGCCGGCCTCCTTCACATGGTCATTGTTATGGGGCATTCCAAGTGAGCAATCTAGTCTACACTGTACCTGCCACGTTTTTGTCCTTTCAATGCATAAAGCTCCCACACACAGTCTTCACATGTAATGCATGGTTTTGGGTGTCTGGATTAAAAGTGTGCGGTGTGTTCTGCTAACCCATTCCCTTGGCAATCTTTCCTGTCCTTGCCTTTCTTTTCTGCCTCTCTTGCCTTAGTTCCTTCCTGTGTTCCTACATGTGACATGTGTTTCTTTTTCCCTTCTTTGACTTGCCTTCGAATTTTCTGCCTTTTCCGGGCATCCCTTCCTTGTCAGATGCCTCTTTGGCACTGTGTTTGTTTTGGGGGATTCTACGGCTACTCCTTCGAAGGCTACACAGCGCAGCCATATTGCGATTTAGGGTTTGGGGTGGTTGCGGCATTCTAAGTTTAGCTGTTTTCATTCCAATCCGGTGTGTGTTCCCTTCCAGTTTCCTTCCGTTTCTTGCCGGTCCGAACATTGAGCTACTTGGCAATCATTCGTGTCAAAACGCACAGTCTTGGCTTCTCCTAACCAAGGTCAGGCCAACCAGCACAATTGCATTCCTCACATCACTTTCTCTACACCATCTACACTATGGATACTCCAACCCATCATTTACACAATCAAAAAAGCTCCCAAAACCACTTGTGAGCCAACGCCTGTCGATTTCCAAGCAAGACTGCAACCAAATTTAGCTTGTTATATCTCATGAATTGAGGCATTCTAAGTTTCAGGCGTCCAAAAGCGTGCATTTTGCAGTAAGATGTTGCATTCAATGTTTCTATTTTAGTGCATTTTCCGTGCTAAACTTGGACACATGTCAGACACGCGACGTATATACATGCTGTGGGATATTCTACGCCTTGCCTTTCCTTCCCCCCTTCCTGCATGTTTGCTTCCTGTGATCTTCGCAATTGTATATATCCCCTTTCCTGCCTTGACTCACCTTGCTATCTTCCTTGTCTGAAGCCTCCCCGCCATTGTGTCTGGTATGGGGTATTGGTTTTTGGGTGGTGGCATTCTAATTCTAAGTCTGATGGTGTTCATTTGTTTTCATTCCATTCCGGCGGGTGTTCCTTTCCGGTGTCCTTTCGTTCTTTTCGTTTAGTTTGCTTTTGATTTTTTCTTTGCCTGTCCATTTCCTTTCCGCGGTCAATTCCTTGCCTTCCCTTTCCCTTCCTTGCTTTGCCTTGAGCCAGCCTGGTGCATTCTAAGTGGGCAGTCCGCAGTCCACTTCTCGGTGCAAATTTCCGCGGCCAGTCCCTGCACAAAGCTTTCCCACACAGTCTTTACAAGCAAGCTATGCCTATGGGTGGTGGAACTCCAAGCGTGCATACCCTTTTCTGATCCTTTTCTGCCATTCCGGTTTCCTTCCAATCCTTCATTTCTGCTCCTTGCCTTTTTTCGTCCCTTTCTTGCCTAGTTCCTTCCTGTGTTCCTCCTTGTGACTATTTTTCCTTCTTTGACTTAGCCTTTGAACTTTCTGCCTTTTCCGCGTCCCTTCCTGTCAGATGCCTCTTTGGCACTGTGTCTGTTATGGGGTGTTCTATGGCTACTCCTTGCAAGGCACAGTCTACACAGCCATATTGTCAAGTATGTAACACATTTAAACAGGCTCCTCATTCCGTATTTGCTTGGTGTATTGCATTACGGACTGAAACTTAGAATGACTCTGGTAGATGCCCAAAAAACATCAAACAACTTAATATGCAGGCACTCTAAGATAGCCCTCCGAGCCGGCATTCTAAGTCTCCCCCAGGCCGGCATTTTGGAAAATTGGCAGGCATCATATGAAGGCCATAGGTGAACTTCAGACATACGAGATGCGGGAATTGGGAAAAGTGGCTGAGTTCTGTGGATTTGTGCAGGATCGGAGTTGACAACGTTCAGACGTTCAGAGTGTTTGTATATATAAATCTAAATATATACATATTATAGATAGAGGGAGAGAGAGAGAGGGAGAGAGAGTACATAGAAACAGACTCCTTATTCCATTTTTGCTATTGCGGACTGAAACATAGAATGCCTCCGGTAGAGATATAGGGAGGCATTCTAAAATACCCCCTTCGAACACCATTTGACGGCATTCTAAAATAGTACCCCTTTTCGTTTGGAAAACCGGCTGGTATTCTATGTTTCAGTCCGTCGGTATATATATTATATATAATATATATATATATATTATATTATATACCCTAGGGCTCCAACCCAAACACCTTCTTAGAAGGTACTTGGAGCCCTAGGGATAATGTAATGGCGTCTTTAATCACCTTCTTAGAGAGTATGTGGATCTAAAGGGTTAACGATGGTTAACGAAATGAAGAGCCTTATTCGTGGAGAAACCGGTTCGAAGCCTGCTTGATGCGCCAACCACATCCATCTCAAGGTTTTGCGCCCGCTGGGTAGTGTCAGACTGTGTCGGGCCTCCTACCCTCCAACCCTCAGACACAAACGAGAGAGAGAGAGAGAGAGAAAGAGGTGGGCCCACACACACACACCCGGACCCCTCCAACCGGCACCCGGACCCTCCTTGATGTTTTTTCGAAAGGTTCCAGAGGAGATATTCTTGAGGGTGTCGGACAGGAATGTTGGTTTTTGCAGTGTGCATGGTAGTGGGGGTGTTTGGGAGGGAAGATGGAGGGGAGCGAGAGAGGCGCATGGGTGGGGACGGGGCTGGGGTGGGGAGGGAAGATGGAGGGGAGCGAGACGGGAGGCGCGTGGGTGGGCTGGTCCATGCTTCGCGGAGGCACGTGGGGAGGTGAATGGAGCGGTGTTGCGGGGCTGAGGTATGGTCTTGGGTGTCCAAAATGTGCAGAATGCACGCGGCAGACATGGTTGCGTTGAGCACATGGTCGCACCACAAGCATCAGTGCAGGCTGCTCTGGGGCAGTGCACAAGTAGAACGAAGCATGGGTGGGGGTAGTGCTGGTCCATGCTTCGCGGACGTGTGT